AGACATAAGAAACAGCTAAAGGAGATGCGGGACCAGATCAAGCTGGAGATGGAAACCATTGACCAGCAGCTGGATCCCTATGTACATGATGAGAGTGACCCACGTGTCAAAGAGATAGAGGCAAAACGAGCTCAGGCTGTCAGGCAGTTGTTTGACAAAATTGCACAACAAAGGAAGGAGTTCATCAGCCTGCTTGTAGAAGAGTGTATTGGGTTAATGGGTCCCCTTCCCTGTAAGTATGCCCTGATAGGTTTGGGTTCACAGGCCACAGGACTGGTAACTCCATACTCAGACCTGGAGTTTGCCATCTTGGTAGAAGAAGAAAGGGAAGAATGTCTTGTGTATTTCTGCAACCTCACCCACTATCTACACCTCAAGGTGGTCAACCTGGGAGAAACTATTCTCCCAGCACTGGGAATAAAATCTCTCAATGACTTCAACTCTGAGAATCCACTTGATGACAACTGGTACTATGACTCTGTAACACCACGTGGGTTTGCATTTGATGGCTCCATGCCAAAGGCGAGCAAGACTCCACTGGGCAGGCAAGGAACCAGTCAACTCATCTGCACCCCAAACAACATGGCTTCAAAACTACAAATGGATGCCACATTGTATCTGAAGGAAGGATATCACCTTGCCATAATCTTGAGAAACCCGTGCCTGATAGCAGGGGACCAGGGTTTGGTTGACACATATATGGCTATCATAATGAAGATACTGCAAGCTGATAGGGGTAGAATGTCTCAACAACTGGCACAGGAGATACAGAGGGAGAACATCAGAGAACTATTGGACAGTGATGAGGAAACAGTCACAGCAAGGTTGATTGATGTCAAGAAAAAACTCTATCGCTTCCCAGCTATAGCGATTGATTGCTTGGCCCTGTCGTCACATATCAAACCTAGCACAGTTTGGAAGATGATAGAAGAGATGGAAAGCAAACAAGTGATTAGTCCCAATAACGCATACCACCTGACAGTGCTTACCAGCATCTCAGCAGAACTCAGGCTCAGAACATACATTGCAAATGGTGGACAGAAGGAAAACTTGTCAGCTTTGGCCTCAATGGAAACATTACTAGATCAACAGACAAATGAACTGAAGCCAGTTTTTCATCTACCGAATGAAAGACAGCTTTTTAGATACTATCACACAGCAGTTCCTCTTAAATCTGTTTTGTCTAAATGGTCTGAAAAGAATCCAGGCCTACAGCCTTTCCCTGATTTGTATGATAATTCTCCAAGAGTACAAGGACTGATGTACCATGAGTTATGTAAATATAGACTGGCTCTCAGACACTACCATGAGGCTCTTAAGACAGTTGAAGGAACAGACACTGAGGAGATGATTCTGCTGCTTAGTGATATTGGACATGCTAGTTTTGAGGTGGGTGATCACCACAAAGCTATCAGCTACTATGAACAGGCACTAACAATGCATGGAAAAACCAATGGGCAGAGTACAGCATATCTACGAAATGACAATGCATCCATACTGAGCAACCTGGGTGTAGTCTGGTCCAGACTGGGAGATCAGAGGAAAACAATCAGCTACACTGAACAGGCACTGCAGATGAGAAGAAGTATCTATGGTCAGAGTACAGAACATCCTGACATAGCCATATCACTTGGCTGCCTGGGGTCAGCCTGGGACAGTCTGGGTGATCACAGGAAAGCAATCAGCTTCCATGAACAGGCACTGCAGATGTACAGAAATATCTTCGGTCAGAATAAAGCGCATCCTCACATAGCCACATTACTGAACAACCTGGGTCTATCCTGCAGTGCTCTGGGTGAATACAGAAGAGCAGTCAGCTACTATGAAGAATCACTGCAAATGAAAAGGGACATCTATGGTCAGACTACACCACATCCTGCCATAGCCATATCACTTGGCAGCATGGGGACAACCTGGCAACATCTGGGTGATTACAGGAAAGCCATGATACACCATGAACAGGCACTTAAAATGTTCAGAAGTATCTATGGTGAGACCAAAGTACATCCTCAGATTGCCACATCACTTAGCAACCTGGGTGCATCCTGGAGTGCTCTGGGTGAATACAGAACAGCAGTCAGCTACTATGAAGAATCACTGCAGATGGAGAGGGACATCTATGGTCAGACTACACCACATCCTGAAATAGCTACATCACTTAGCAACCTGGGTGAAACCTGGCAAGATCTGGGTGATTACAGGAAAGCAATCAGCTACCATGAACAGGCACTTAAAATGTCCAGGGATATCTATGGTGAGACCAAAGCACATCCTCACATTGCCACGTCACTTAACAACCTGGGTGCATCCTGGGGTGCTCTGGGTGAATACGGGAGAGCAGTCAGCTTCTATGAACAGGCATTACAGATGAGAAGGGACATCTATGGTCAGAGTACACCACATCCTGACATAGCCATGTCACTTGCCAACCTGGGGTCAGCCTGGAACAGTCTGGGTGATTACAGGAAAGCAATCAGCTTCCATGAACAGGCACTTAAAATGTACAGAAGTATCTATGGTGAGACAAAAGCACATCCTGACATTGCCACATCACTGAACAACCTGGGTAGAGCCTGGGATGCCCTTGGTGAATACAGAAGAGCATTAGGCCACCATGAAGAGGCCTTACAGATGAGAAGGGACATCTATGGTCAGAGTACACCACATCCTGCCATAGCCATATCACTTAGCAACATGGGGTCAGCCTGGGACAGCCTGGGCGATAACAGGAAAGCAATTAGATTCCATGAACAGGCATTTAAAATGTCCAGAAGTATCTATGGTGAGACAAAAGCACATCCTCACATTGCCACATTTCTGAGCAACCTGGGTGCATCCTGGGGTGACCTGGGTGATTACAGAAGAGCAGTCAGCTACTATGAAGAGGCATTACAGATGGAAAGGGACATCTATGGTCAGAGTACACCACATACTAACATAGCCACAACAATGAACAACCTTGGGACAACTTTGTGTAATCTCTGTAATTTCGGAAAAGCTAACAGAACTTTCCTAGAAGCTTTGGCTATGGCAAAGCAAATTTTTCCCCAGGATCAAAACCATCCATTGATAAAAGATATTGAAAGGAACCTGGCAGAAAACCAGCGTAAGGCATCTATGGGTAACTGACGAGAAACCTCCTGATATGTTACATCCAAAATATTCCATCATTCTATTTCAGTCACGTTGCTATATAGCATAAAAAGCATTTAGAAACACAAGGAAGAGGAACAACAAATTATGAAACTGGCCTTAACCTTAAGATGGATAATCATAATGATTTGTAAGAAATACAATATTCTAAATACAGGACTGTATGTCTAATAACTTATTGGCAGTAAAGGCACTGCATCAACCTGCTCAACATGCTGAAGGGAGACATGAAGCGTGGAGTGCTAGGCCCTCCAACAACAAAAAAGACACTCTTAGAGCTAAGGGAGATCGCGAAACAGAAGACACAGTGGAAAGAAATGAAGAAAGACTGAATGCAGCTGCAGGACGTTTCGTATGACTGCAGATCTAGATGCAGAATACAATGGATGATGATGATGAATAAAGGAAAATATCATAATGGATAGATTCACATGATGAGACATAAGACCTGAGTGTATGCCTGCGCTGCATGTGAAAGACACACTGAAAATACAATGTTTTCTGGACCTAACTGGTTAAGAGATTGAATCCGGACTGTAGTTGGAAAGGGAATATTATCGGTATGGTACATGATGTACATGTACAAAAACAATGTATATCCTTGAGAATGCCAAATTAAATGTGCTGACTGAAAAAAGCTTGTATTAGTTACCAACTTACAGGTACAACAGCCTCTACTTACATGTACCAAATCTATGTAGTACAGAAAATGTGGGGTACATTATGTTATTATAATGTGCCATTATACTGTTAAAGCAATTTACAAAATTATTGTAGATAAAAATTCAGATTGTATCCTTACTGTCCTTTGTGGGTTTTCCTGTGCTACTAATCTTATCTACATTGGCCACCCTCTCTCTTTTCTCTCGTTTGAGGTAATAGTTAATATATAAGTAACTTGCATTGTTTGTAAATATCTATAGCCACCTATATTATACAACTGCGTCTATTTTATATATAATAAAAAGGACAATATTTTAGCCACTGCAACTGTTTTTATGTAATTGAGATTTTTAGTACATGTAAATTTGATTTCAATTCAGTGTCATTCACACTGCGACAACGAATTAAGTCATCTTGTATCTTGTAATTGTTGTTGTGTAACCAAAACACTAAAAATAACAGGATGCTATTAAGATCATAATAGACTCACTACACACACTGGTGTTGATTTCAATTTGTCAGATACATGTGCATCACATGTTTTTAAAAATCTGATTCTATGTAGATGTCATGAGGCCATATTCCAATTGCAACCCTGCTTCACATAAAAGGAATATAACAAGTCATAATTGCATAGAAAGCTACATTTGTATCAAATTAAAAGTCAAGTTTAGACCACACCAATTTAATTTGTTTCTCGGATTTTTTCAGAAAAATAATGAAGCGACAGGGCGGAAAAAAAAGAAGGCTAAGGCACCCTATCATAGCCGGAAATGTTACAATTTTTTATGAACCATGAAGTGAACATACCAGGCTGGTTTATAATTAAAACAATAGATTTTTTACTTCTAATGAAACAAAATTGCATTGTTACATTGAAAAACTTTAAGAACTAGGAAGAAAAAGACTTTCTTCAACCATTGGGGCCAAAATATGCATAATTTAGAACAAAAAAACTTTTTTTTTTTTTGCAAATCAGAAAAAAATGGACAGGACAATCATAGAAGCAACAAATCAAATTGGCGTGGGCTTATATTTAAACATATCCCTTTTTATAGGAAAATGGTCATGGAAAGGAACACATTAGTCCTGCCCAGAATGCATTGTCTGTTCAAGACATAGAATCTGCCAGACCCCAGTAATATGGATTTGTCGGTAGGTCAAGTGACCAAACATGTCAACATGAGGTACTAACTTATAAGTCATCTATTATATGTATACTTAGTCACAGTTTACATTGTCACGGGACTAACTGCTGACTTAGGTATGACAACATGGAAAGTCACAGCTGTTCTACAGGAAAAGTCCCCCCTCAGTCAGAGGAAAAACCCAAAACTCTGCTGACACGGTGAGAAAGAAGCAAGTCCCTAGACCCAGGCAGGTTCACAGCTGTGGAGTCACAGACATACAGGTGAGTCTGTTCATGGAAGTCTGTTCAGCTTGACAAGTTACAGAGGCTACAGGGGTTTACAAATGCTTCAGTGTTAGAAATACCCACCTGAAGTCTGCAGTTTGACTTTTGACTCTTTCAATATTGCAGAAGAAAAATTAAGCAACTTGCAACATTGCAGACTGGCAAATCAGGCTAGGAGTTTTGGTATTGGTATAATATTTTTAAAGAGCTTTGTGTTTACTACTGACTCTAATATACTAGCATTTTAAATTGCATTCAAAATGTTTGCCAACATGCAATTTTATATGCCATGGGTTTAGGTCCAGTCTTATACATGTAAGTGTGTATTTGCAGAAAGAATTTCCAAATGGCAGAACAAAATTGTGACATTCTGCAATATTGCATAGCAGTGAAAAAATGTAATTTTCTACAAATGTTCTTGTATGTGTAAGTCTTGAGTACAAGGGTGCATTATGAGGACTCACTGACAGATATTCCTACATTCTCATATTCAGACATATTCAGACATTCCTACATAATCCTGTATGTATACCAACGTTATTAGATTTAAGTAGAGATAGTAGGTTTCATAAGTGTATCGTACACGTATAGAACTTCAAGTTAGCAATTAGTCTTATGAGCACCATTTTATAATGGATTGTACACTATACAATGATAAGCGCCTATTGCTGTTCACCTTTCTTTCCGCTTGTTCAATTGATTTCAATACGTTAGATGCTATAGATAAATTCAACTTCATTCTCAGGGGAGATAACCAATACAGTGTTCAAATAGGAAAATACATTAAAGAATGTTTCGATCTTAGAGACCATATGTTAGAGAATAGTTAACCTTTCTTATTGTTACATCATACATATACTCTGTACGTAAGATGACGTTATCCACACATGTATGTAGCTTTGTTAGATCTTTAGTTAAGTTGTAGAAGACCATACAAAAGTCTCTGTACTTTTTTGTTGTGTCAATAAAGAATAACGTATCACCACATTTTTCTTGTCAATGTCTGTATGCAATTAGCCCTCGGGCATGAATTTGCAACAAACAACTCTATTACATTGTAATATCGTTACTCTGAAATTTATGACTATATACTCCTGTCCATACACATATTCACAATGGAAAACCATACGCTATATATTCATTGTTATTCACCTCACCTATCCCACGTTGAGGGTCGTTGGGGCACCTTGACGTGGATACCTAATTCTTTACCATTTAACCCTGTCCTCTGCCACTCTTATGGCTTCGGCTATGCTTAAACTGGTCCACTCTTTTATGTTTAGGCCACACCAATTTAATTTGTTGTTTCTCAGATTCGCCCTGTCCATTTTTTTCTGATTTGCAAAAAAAAAATTTTTAGGTTCTAAATCAACTGCAAAATGCTCAATGAAAGACATATTTTGGCCCCAACAGTTGAAGAAAGTCATTTTGGGTGATTACAGGAAACAACTTTGTTCCATTTAAAGTTCAAAATCTATTGTTTTAATTATAAACCAGCCTGGTATGTTGACTTCATGGCTCATATTGTAACAGTTCCGGCTATCATGGGGTGCCTTGGCCTGTTTTTGTTGTTGTTTTTTCTGCCCTGTCGCTTCATAATTTTTTTGGAAAAAATTAGAGAAACAACAAATTAAATTGGTGTGGACTTATGTTTTATGTCATTGTTATTACAGAACACAAAAATGTCTGACAACGATATGACCAGCCTGGCAGCCAAATTACAAAATTTAGAGTTGTGCCTCAAGAGTCACCACAGCCAAGACCATGGCTATGGGCAGGCACTGAGAGAAGCCATTCTTTGCATGGATAACATCATGGAGGTAGAAGTCCTGAAAAGTCTTGGAGACCTGCATCTTCAGAAAGGCAAGCTCAGTAAAGATTCAGAAGAGTTTGACAAGGCTGCTGCCCTGTATGCTGCTGCCTTACTGCGCTGCAAAGAGCCAGACATGGGTCAAACCCTGCAACATCGTATTGACTACATGGAGAAACTCTCCAGACAACTGCTGCAGGGGTACACTCCACAGTATCAGAGATTGTCTCTACACATTTCTGACAGCAATGTCTTAAGGGTGGCAGAGATTTGTCACAAGTTAGACAGAGTTGGTAAACTGTGGAAATCTGTCGAGGACACTTACACAGAAGCATTAGTGACTGCTATAGAAAATAGTGATGTATTCTTAGAGCTTGAGGTCTTAAAATCTCTCGGAGATTTCTACCTTGAGAAAGGCAAGAAAACCTCTGATGCATCCCAGTTCTCCAAGGCAGCTGCCATGTACAACAAGGCCCTGACAAGATGTGAGGATCCTGAGACAAAACTAACCCTACGTCATCGCATCAGTTATGGAGAGAAGATCAGGGAAGCAGTAAGAAAGGTGAGAAGCTAGTAAAGTTTCCTTGTCACTTGTATGGATACTTCTAATAGTTAATGACATCACATGTACATTGTGTATTATAATTATGTTTGCTGAAGGAAATCATATTGTTTTTGCTCAGTTTCTTCTTCCTCTTTTTCTCCAAACAAATAAGGTCAATGACCCGAACCAGACATCTATCACCATGGTAACTAGTGTTGGGTTACATCATGTTGCAATTTTGCAGCAGGAGGTATTTAGACTCCTGTTAACATATATAGGAATGTGTTTTAGTAAAAATTAACTGGCAAAAAGGCAAAATTTGTAAAACACCATATAAAAGAGTATGGGGATGACATTAATGTGTAATATGTATTATTAATAATGTGTAATGTGTAATCTTGTTGCAGCAGCCAACTCTAAGCAAATCAAGACCAAGAGAAAAGAGACCATCCTCGGGACACCAGTTTGGGAACATGACAAGACCTGATGTTACACAGACCCGTACTGATATACAGAGGTGAGGACACCTTACACTTACATGTACTGTGCCTTACTAATAATTGAGTACGTAACTGTTGAGCTTTATCTTTGAAAAGTTAGCATTATGACAATGATAGTGATAATACATGTACTTTGTCATCTCGCAATAACCCACTTACACATAATACGTACAAATGTAATTCTGTCTTTTCTTTTCAGTCAGCTGCAGTACAAAGACCACATGAAGGAAGGTGAATCATCCCTTGACAAGGCAGACCTGGACTCAGCAGAGGAGCACTTTGCAGCTGCACTCAAGACAGTACACATGCCAGGTACAGGAATACTCAGTTACAATAGAACTTCACCATGCTTGGAACATTGAATCCCAGACTCCTATACCATATCTAAGTAGAGGACTTAAAAGCTTCTGAGCATTATGGAAGTTAACATGACATGTAGTACATATGCTTTCAAATTTGTGACAGTGTAAAGTAACGCACTGAACAAAGGTACCAACAGTTGTCAGACTGAGCCAAAAAAAGTCTTCTAAATTTTAAGAGATTGCATTTTCCCCTAGCAAGAATATATTTAAAATCAAGAAAATGTTACTCTAACAGGTAATATGTCCAACGCCGAGGGTTTTCTTTTCAGACCCCACAGCCCAGCAGTACCAGAGAGAGGTGGAGCCCCTGTGCAAGTTGGGGGATGTCTACAGTAAGCGAGGTCAGAAGACAGGAGACGGGGGAGACTTTGTCAAAGCAGCAGCACTCTACCATGCAGCAATAGCCAGGTCAGAGGATCAAGTCATCAATGGTAACATAGAAAGAGCTGTTACAGAGGTAGAGAAGTCATTTCTCAAATATGTTTTAAACATTCATTGTGATATTAAGAGTCTAGTCAACACAGATAGACATAAGAAACAGCTGAAGGAGATGCGGGACCAGATCAAGCTGGAGATGGAAACCATTGACCAGCAGCTGGATCCCTATGTACTGGATGAGAGTGACCCACGTGTCAACGAGATAGAGGCAAAACGAGCTCAGGCTGTCAGGCAGTTGTTTGACAAAATTGCACAAGAAAGGAAGGAGTTCATCAGCCTGCTTGTAGAAGAGTGTATTGGGTTAATGGGTCCCCCTTTCTGTAAGTATGCCCTGATAGGTTTGGGTTCACAGGCCACAGGACTGGTAACTCCATACTCAGACCTGGAGTCTGCCATCTTGGTAGAAGAAGAAAGGGAAGAATGTCTTGTGTATTTCTGCAACCTCACCCACTATCTACACCTCAAGGTGGTCAACCTGGGAGAAACCATTCTCCCAGCACTGGGAATAAAATCTCTCAATGACTTCTACTCTGAGAATTCACTTGACAACTGGTACTATGACTCTGTAACACCACGTGGGTTTGCATTTGATGGCTCCATGCCAAAGGCGAGCAAGACTCCACTGGGCAGGCAAGGAACCAGTCAACTCATCTGCACCCCAAACAACATGGCTTCAAAACTACAAACGGATGCCACCTTGTATCTGAATAAAGGATATCACCTTGCCATAATCTTGAGAAACCCATGCCTGATAGCAGGGGACCAGGGTCTGATCGAAACCTACATGGCTATCACAAGGAAGATAATGCAAGCTGATGGGGGTAAAATGTCTCAACAACTGGCACAGGAGATACAGAGGGAGAACATCAGAAAACTATTGGACAGTGATGAGGGAACAGTCACAGCAAGGTTGATTGATGTCAAGAAAAAACTCTATCGCTTCCCAGCTATAGCAATTGATTGCTTGGCCCTGTCATCACATATCAAACCTACCACAGTTTGGAAGATGATAGAAGAGATGGAAAACAAACAAGTGATCAGTCCCAACAACGCACACCACCTGACAGTGCTTACCAGCATCTCAGCAGAACTCAGGCTCAGAACATACATTGCAAATGGTGGACAGAAGGAAAACTTGTCAGCTATGGCCTTGATGGAAACAATACTACATGTAGATCAACAGGAATCATCCCTACTAACCAAAGAAGTGCAAACAAATGAACTGAAGCCAGTTTTTCATCTACCGAATGAAAGACAGCTTTTCAGATACTATCATACAGCAGTTCCTCTTAAATATGTTTTGTCTAAATGGTCTGAAAAGAACCCATGCCTACAGCCTTTCCCTGATTTGTATGATAATTCTCCAAGAATACAAGGACAGATGTACTGTGAGTTATGTAAATATAGACTGGCTCTCAGACACTACCACGAGGCTCTTAAGGCAGCTGATGGAACCGACACTAAGGAGATTATGCTGCTGCTTTGTGATATTGGATATGCTAATTTTGAGGTGGGTGATCACCATAAAGCTATCAGCTACTATGAACAGGCACTAATTATAACAATGCATGGAAAAACCAATGGGCGGAGTACAGCACATCTACTCAATGCAACCATACTGAACAGCCTGGGTGTAGCCTGGTCTAGCCTGGGAGATCAGAGGAAAGCAATCAGTTACTATGAAGAGGCACTGCAGATGAGAAGAAGTATCTATGGGCAGAGTACACAACATCCTGACATTGCCATGTCACTTAGCAACCTGGGGTCAGCCTGGGACAGTCTGGGAAAATACAGGAAAGCAATCAGCTTCCATGAACAATCACTTAAAGTGTACAGGAGTATCTATGGTGAGACCAAAGCACATCCTCAGATTGCCACATTACTAAGCAACCTGGGTGCATCCTGGGGTGCTCTGGGTGAATACAGGAGAGCAGTCAGCTACTATGAAGAGGCATTACAGATGAAAAGGGACATCTATGGTCAGAGTACACCACATCCTGCCATAGCCATATCACTTAACAGCCTGGGGTTAGCCTGGCACAGTCTGGGTGATTACAGGAAAGCAATTATATACCATAAACAGGCACTTAAAATGTCCAGAGGTATCTATGGTGAGACTAAAGCACATCCTCAGATTGCCACATTACTAAACAACCTGGGTGGATCCTGGTGTGATCTGGGTGAATACAGGAGAGCAGTCAGCTACTATGAAGAGGCATTACAGATGGAAAGGGACATCTATGGTCACAGTACACCACATCCTGCCATAGCCACATCACTCAACAACCTGGGGTCAGTCTGGAAAAGTCTGGGTGATTACAGAAGAGCAGTCAGCTACTATGAAGAGTCATTACAGATGAGAAGGGACATCTATGGTCAGAGTACACCACATCCTGACATAGCCATATCACTTAGCAACATGGGGGTAGCCTGGCAACATCTGGCTGATTACAGGAAAGCAATCAGCTTCCATGAACAGGCACTTAAAATGTCCAGAAGCATCTATGGTGAGACCAAATCACATCCTCAGATTGCCACATCACTGAACAACCTGGGTTTATCCTGGTGTGATCTGGGTGAATATAGAAGAGCAGTCAGCTACTATGAAAAGGCATTACAGATGAACAGGGACATCTATGGTCAGAGTACACCACATCCTGACATAGCTGGATCACTTGACAACCTGGGATTAGCCTTGCACGAACTGGGTGATTACAGGAAAGCAATCAGCTTCTATGAACAGGCACTTAAAATGTCCAGAAGTATCTATGGTGAGACCAAAGCACATCCTCACATTGCCACAATACTGAACAACCTGGGTGGAGCCTGGGGTGCTCTGGGTGAATACAGAAGAGCAGTCATCTACTATGAAGAGGCATTACAGATGAAAAGGGACATCTATGGTCAGAGCACACCACATCCTGACATAGCCATGTCACTTGCCAACCTGGGGTCAGCCTGGCAACATCTGGGTGATTACAGGAAAGCAATCAGCTACAATGATCAGGCACTTAAAATGTCCAGAAGTATCTATGGTGAGACAAAAGCACATCCTCACATTGCCACATTACTGAGTAACCTGGGTGTATCCTGGAAAGATCTGGGTGAATACAGAAGAGCAGTCCGCTACTATGAAGAGGCATTACAGATGAGAAGGGACATCTATGGTCTGAGTACACCACATCCTCACATACCCACATCACTTAGCAACCTGGGGACAGCCTGGCACCATCTGGGTGATTACAGGAAAGCAATCAGGTACCATGAACAGGCACTTAAAATGTCCAGAAGTATCTATGGTGAGACCAAAGCACATCCTCACATTGCCACAATACTGAACAACCTGGGTGGAGCCTGGGGTGCTCTGGGTGATTGCAGGAAAGCAATCGCCTGCTATAAACAGGTACTAAAGATGCAAAGGGAAATCCATGGTTATGGTGCAGCACATCCTGAAATTGCCATGTCACTAAACAACCTGGGGGCAACTTTGTACAAACTCTGTGATTTCAGAGCAGCTAACAGAACTTTCCTAGAAGCTTTGGCTATGGCAAAGCAAACTTTTCCCCAGGACCAAAACCATCCAATGATTAAAGGAATTGAAAGGAACCTGGCAGAAAACCAGCGTAAGGCATCTATGGGTAACTGATGAGAAAGTCCCTGATATGTTAGATAAAAAAATTCCATCATTCTATTTCAGTCACGTTGCTATATAGCATAAAAAGCATTAGAAACTCAAAGAAGAGGAACAACAGATTATAAACAAAAAACTGGACTTAACATTAAGATGGATAATCATTGTTAGAGAACAATGTTGTAAATACGGGACTGTATGTCTAATAACTTATTGGCAGTAGAGGAAAATATCATAATGTATAGATTCACATGATGAGGCAAAAGACCTGTCAGTGAGTGTATGCCTGCCCTGCATGTAAAATACACACTAGAAATGTGTAATCTATAATGTATAATGTGAAAGTCCTGACGATATTTGAAGGACATGTTTGTGACTTCTCTTGACAAAAAACGCAATTCAGCACTGGTGCTGCGAAGGCTTTTATTTTTGAATAAACCGTTCTCTCTCTCCCAAAATACAATGTACATGACCAGGTGGTGAATGGTTCTTGACTGTTCTCCTGCAGCTGTATTGCTGGTATCTCAGCCTCTAAGCTTCATTCCAACCCAACCCCCAACCCCAGCCCTAACCCTAACTCTGAAGCACACATGTATGTCACAGTGACATATACATGATCATAGATTCTAGACAGCATTGTGGATACATTTCCCTGTAATCACGCATATGTGTATACATGTAGATATGTAAATATTGTACATTTGAGAATGCATCTATAGCAGTGGCAACTGTGCTGCAGTGCAATGTGAACCAGTCAGAATTGCCCCGAGGAAGGTGACAGACGGTCACCGAAACGTCAGCTGAATAAAAGACTTGGTTGTGTAAAAAGAGTCTCTTTGACATGATCATAGTGTTCTCACATAGTGTGACAGGCTGAATAAAAGTTTTAAACGGGAACTATGCGGCTCCAGATGTCTTACTGAGGGATGACTGCGTGTGCGAGATGTCGGTTAGCTGAGGAATGAATCCCCTCGAATTCATATAGTGTTCTCACCTGTGAGAGTTTAGCCAGCACGCGGCTGTCATCTTACTCCTCTTGTGGCTGCAACTCTGGTATCTCAGCCTCTAATAACCTTCATTCCAACCCCATCCCCACCCCAGCCCTAACCCTAACTCTGAAGCACACACATATACATGTATGTCACAGCTAAAATATACATGATCATAGTTCCGAAAACTCAGCCACATTTGGTATTGTGTTCTCCTTGCAAAAGTGACACCTACATCAGCTACATATATCGGTGAGATGCAGAACTCCAGTCAGATTTCAATTTGTCTGATACATGATCACGATGTTTTTCAAAATCTGATTCTATGTAGAAGTAATGAGGCCATATTCTTAGTCTGCTTTACATAAAAGGAATATATTATTAACGAAATTGTATAGAAAGCTAACAAATTAAAAGTCATGTTTACATTTAAAGATATCCCTTTTTATAGGAAAATGGTCATGAAAAGGGACACAAGTCCTACCAGGATGCATTGTCTGTTAGTTAGTTAGTTTGTTGAGGATCTCCATTAGTGTGAATTTCACACTAATCTTCCTGTAGTCCGTAGTGAATAATCAGATAAGTATTTGAACCATCACACACCAGGGCATGCCCCTACTCTTTTTCGAAAGGTGTGGTACGGGGGGATCTTTAACGTGCTTGAGGTGTGGCTCTCCTCAAACACGGGACCTCCATTTAATGTCCTATCCGAGGACGTCCCTAAGCAAAGTTAGGTACTCATTCACACCTGAGTGAAGTGAGGAAAGTAGTGTAAAGTGCCTTTCCCAAGGGCACAAGATCGTGACAAGGTGGGGTTCGAACCCAGGACCTCTTAGTTCCAAGCCGAAGATGCTACCGCTACGCCACACGACCTCACTATGTTCAAGACATAGAATCAGAGAGACCACCAGTAATCTGGAGTCGTGGGTAGGCCAAGTGACCAAACGTGTCAACATAAGGTATTAACTTATAAGTCATCTATTATATGTATACTTAGTCACAGTTTACATTGTCACGGGACTAACTACTGACTTAGGTATGACAACATGGAAAGTCCCGGCACTTTTACAGGAAAAGTCCCATCTGAGTCAGAGGAATTAAACCCAAAACTCTGATGAAACAGTGAGAAAGAAGCAAGTCCCTAGAAACAGGCAGGTTCACAGCTGTGGAGTCACAGACACCCAGGTGAGATTTATGTAGACAAGTCTGTTCAACTTGACAAGTTACAGAGGCTACAGGGGTTTATGCATGCTTCAGTGTTAGAAATACCCACCTGCAGTCTGCATTTTGCAGAGACTTTTTCAATATTGCAGAAGAAAATATTGCAACATTGCAGACTGGCAAATCAGGCTAGGAGTTTTCGTATTGGTATAATATTGTTAAAGAGCTTTGGGTTTACTACCAAAATCTAATATACTAGCATTTCAAATTGCATTTAAAATGTTTGGCAACATGCATATGCAATTTTATATGCCATGGGTTTAGGTCCAGTCTTACAAGTGTGTATTTGCAGAAAGCATTGCCAAATTACAGAATAAAATTTGTGGCATTCTGCAATATTGCAGAACACTGAAAGAATGTATTTCTATAAAAGTGCTTGTATGTGTAACTCTTGACTTCAAGGGTGGACTAGATATTGTGAGGACTCAGATAATATATAATTGTAATATAGTTACTCTGCTATTTATGACTATTATAACTCCTGTCCATACACATTCACAATCGAGAACCTTACACTATACATATATTCATTGTCATTACAGAACACAAAAATGTCTGACAACAATATGACCAGCCTGGCAGCCAAATTACAAAATTTAGAGTTGTGCCTCAAGAGTCACCACAGCCAAGACCATGGCTATGGGCAGGCACTGAGAGAAGCCATTCTTTGCATGGATCACTTCATGGAGGTAGAAGTCCTGAAAAGTCTTGGAGACCTGCATCTTCAGAAAGGCAAGCTCAGTAAAGATTCAGAAGAGTTTGACAAGGCTGCTGCCCTGTATGCTGCTGCCTTACTGCGCTGCAAGAAAGAGCCAGACATGTGTCAAACCCTGCAACACCGTATTGACTACATGGAGAAACTCTCCAGACAACTGCTGCAGGGGTACACTCCACAGTATCAGAGATTGTCTCCAGACATTTCTGACAGCAATGTCTTAAGGGTGGCAGAGATTTGTCACAAATTAGACAGAGTTGGTAAACTGTGGAAATCTGTTGAGGACACTTACACAGAAGCATTAGTGACAGCAATAGAAAATAGTGATGTATTCTTAGAGCTTGAGATTTTAAAATCTCTCGGAGATTTCTACCTTGAGAAAGGCAAGAAAACCTCGGATACGTCCCAGTTCTCCAAGGCAGCTGCCATGTACAACAAGGCCCTGACAAGATGTGAGGATCCTGAGACAAAACTAACCCTACGTCATCGCATCAGTTATGCAGAGAAGATCAGGGAAGCAGTAAGAAAGGTGAGAAGCTAGTAAAGTTTCCTTGTCACTTGTATGGATACTTCTAGTAGTTAATGACATCACATGTATTATATATTTTTATGTTTACTGAAGGAAAAAATATTGTTTTTGCTCAGTTTCTTCTTCCTCTTCTTCCTCTTCTCCAAACCAATAAGGTCAATGACCCGAACCAGACATCTATCACCATAGTAACTAGTGTTGGATTACATCATGTTGCAATTTTGCAGCAGGAGGCATTTAGACTCCTGTTAACATATATAGGAATGTGTTTTAGTAAAAATTAACTGGCAAAAAGGCAAAATTTGTAAAACACCATATAAAAGAGTATGGGGATGACATTAATGTGTAATATGTATTATTAATAATGTGTAATGTGTAATCTTGTTGCAGCAGCCAACTCTAAGCAAATCAAGACCAAGAGAAAAGAGACCATCCCTGGGACACCAGTTTGGGAACATGACAAGACCTAATGTTACACAGACCTGTACTGATATACAGAGGTGGGAATAACTTACACTTACATGTACTGTGCCTTACTAAAGAATTGAGTACGTAACTGTTGAGCTTTACCTTTGAAAAGTTAGCATTATGACAATGATAGTGATAATACATGTACTTTGTCATCTCGCAATAACCCACTTACACGTAATACGTAATTCTGTCTTTTCTTTTCAGTCAGCTGCAGTACAAAGACCACATGAAGAAAGGGGAATCATCCCTTGACAAGGAAGACCTGGACTCAGCAGAGGAGCACTTTGCAGCTGCACTCAAGACAGTACACATGCCAGGTACAGGAATACTCAGTTACAATAGAACTTCACCAAGCTTGGAACATTGAATCCCGAACTCCTACCATATCTAATTAGACAACTTAAAAGCTTCTGAGCATTCTGGAAGTTAACATGACATAATATTCAAATTTGTGACTATGTAGAGAAACACACTGATCAAAGGTTTGACTTAGACTGAGCCAAAAAAGTCTTCTAAATTTTAAGAAATTCCATTTTCCTGACGAAAGCTAGTGGATACTAGCTGAAACGTCTGACGTTTTCAAAATCATATCCAGTTGCTTGAGTAACTGCTTTTTGGCAAATTCCATTTTCACTTAGCAAGAATATGACTTACATGTAACATCAAGACATTCCAGGTTATTGACTTACTGTATTGTTACTCTAATGAGTAATATGTCCAACATTGATTTTTTTTTTCAGACCCCACAGCCCAGCAGTACCAGAGAGAGGTGGAGCCCCTGTGCAAGTTGGGGGATGTCTACAGTAAGCGAGGTCAGCAGACAGGAGACGGGGGAGACTTTGTCAAAGCAGCAGCACTCTACCATGCAGCAATAGCCAGGTCAGAGGATCAAGTCCTCAATAGTAACATAGAAAGAGCTGTTACAGTGGTAGAGAAGTCATTTCTCAAATATGTTTTAAACATTCATTGTGATATTAAGAGTCTAGTCAACACAGATAGACATAAGAAACAGCTAAAGGAGATGCGGGACCAGATCAAGCTGGAGATGGAAACCATTGACCAGCAGCTGGATCCCTATGTACATGATGAGAGTGACCCACGTGTCAAAGAGATAGAGGCAAAACGAGCTCAGGCTGTCAGGCAGTTGTTTGACAAAATTGCACAAGAAAGGAAGGAGTTCATCAGCCTGCTTGTAGAAGAGTGTATTGGGTTAATGGGTCCCCTTCCCTGTAAGTATGCCCTGATAGGTTTGGGTTCACAGGCCACGGGACTGGTAACTCCATACTCAGACCTGGAGTCTGCCATCTTGGTAGAAGAAGAAAGGGAAGAATGTCTTGTGCATTTCTACAACCTCACCCACTATCTACACCTCAAGATGGTCAACCTGGGAGAAACCATTCTCCCAGCACTGGGAATAAAATCGCTAAATGACTTCTACTCGGAGAATTCACTTGACAACTGGTACTATGACTCTGTAACACCTCGTGGGTTTGCATTTGATGGCTCCATGCCAAAGGCAAGCAAGACTCCACTGGGCAGGCAAGGAACCAGTCAACTCATCTGCACCCCAAACAACATGGCTTCAAAACTACAAACGGATGCCACCTTGTATCTGAAGGAAGGATATCACCTTGCCATAATCTTGAGAAACCCATGCCTGATAGCAGGGGACCAGGGTTTGATCGAAACATATATGGCTATCACAAGGAAGATAATGCAAGCTGATGGGGGTAGAATGTCTCAACAACTGGCAGAGGAGATACAGAGGGAGAACATCAAAAAACTATCGGATAATGGTAAGGAAACAGTCACAGCAAGGTTGATTGATGTCAAGAAAAAACTCTATCGCTTCCCAGCTATAGCGATTGATTGCTTGGCCCTGTCGTCACATATTAGACCTACCACAGTTTGGAAGATGATAGAAGAGATGGAAAGCAAACAAGTGATCAGTCCCAACAATGCACACCACCTGACAGTGCTTACCAGCATCTCAGCAGAACTCAGGCTCAGAACATACATCGCAAATGGTGGACAGAAGGAAAACTTGTCAGCCATGGCCTCAATGGAAACAGTGCTAGATCAACAGACAAATGAACTGAAGCCAGTTTTTCATCTACCGAATGAAAGACAGCTTTTCAGATACTATCATACAGCAGTTCCTCTTAAATCTGTTTTGACTAAATGGTCTGAAAAGAACCCATGCCAACAGCCTTTCTCTGATTTGTATGATAATTCTCCAAGAGTACAAGGACTGATGTACCGTGAGTTATGTAAATATAGACTGGCTCTCAGATACTACCATGAGGCTCTTAAGACAGCTGATGGAACCGACACTAAGGAGATGATTCTGCTGCTTTGTGATATTGGACTTGCTAACCTTGAGGTGGGTGATCACCACAAAGCTATCAGCTACTATGAACAGGCACTAACAATGCATGGAAAAACCAATGGGCAGAGTACAGCACATTTAATCATTGACAATACAGCCATACTGAACAACCTGGGCACAGCCTGGTCCAGCCTGGGAGATCAGAGGAAAGCAATCACCTACAATGAACAGGCACTGCAGATGTACAGAAATATCTATGGTCAGAGTACAGAACATCCTGCCATAGCCAAATCCCTTGGCAACCTGGGGCTTGCCTGGCACAGTCTGGGTGATTACAGGAAAGCAATAGGCTTCGATGAACAGGCACTTAAAATGTTCAGAGGTATCTATGGTGAGACCAAAGCACATCCTCAGATTGCCACATTACTGGGCAACCTGGGTGGATCCTGGGGTGATCTGGGTGAATACAGAAGAGCAGTCAGCTACTATGAAGAGGCATTACAGATGAGAAGGGACATCTATGGTCAGAGTACACCACATCCTGACATAGCCATATCACTTGGCAACATTGGGGCAACCTGGCACAAACTGGGTGATTATAGGAAATCAATTATATACCATGAACAGGCAATTAAAATGTCCAGAAGTATCTATGGTGAGACCAAAGCACATCCTCACATTGCCACATTACTGAACAACCTGGGTCAAGCCTGGGATGCTCTGGGTGATTACAGGAAAGCAATCAGCTACTATGAAGAGGCATTACAGATGAAAAGGGACATCTATGGTCAGAGTACACCACATCCTGACATAGCCATATCACTTGCCAACCTGGGGTCAGCCTGGTGCAGGCTGGGTGATTACAGGAAAGCAATCAGCTTCCATGAACAGGCACTTAAGATGTTCAGGAGTATCTATGGTGAGACCAAATCACATCCTCACATTGCCACATCACTGAACAACCTGGGTTTATCCTGGGATAATCTGGGTGATTACAGGAGAGCAGTCAGCTACTATGAAGAGTCATTACAGATGAGAAGGGACATCTATGGTCAGAGTACAGAACATCCTGACATAGCCATGTCACTTAACAACCTGGGGTTAGCCTGGCACAGTCTGGGTGATTACAGGAAAGCAATCAGCTTCCATGAACAGGCACTTAAAATGTCCAGAAGTATCTATGGTGAGACAAAAGCACATCCTCACATTGCCACATCACTGAGCAACCTGGGTGCATCCTGGAGTGATCTGGGTGATTACAGAAGAGCAGTCAGCTACTATGAAGAGGCATTACAGATGAGAAGGGACATCTATGGTCAGACTACACCACATCCTGACATAGCCATATCACTTGGCAGCCTGGGGACAGCCTGGCACAGTCTGGGTGATGACAGGAAAGCAATCATGTACCATGAACAGGCGCTGAAAATGTTTAGAAATATCTATGGTCAAAATAAAGCACATCCTTACATTGCCACATCACTCGGCAATCTGGGGACAACCTGGCAAAAACTAGATTATTACAGGAAAGCAATTATATACCATGAACAGGCACTTAGAATGTCCAGAAGTATCTATGGTGAGACAAAAGCACATCCTGACATTGCCACATCACTGAACAACCTGGGTAGAGCCTGGGGTGCTCTGGGTGATTACAGAAGAGCAGTCAGCTACTATAAAGAGGCACTACAGATGAGAAGGGACATCTATGGTCAGAGTACACCACATCCTGAAATTGCCATAACACTTGTCAACATGGGGTCAGCCTGGCACAGTCTGGCTGATTACAGGAAAGCAATCAGCTTCCATGAACAGGCACTTAAGATGCTCAGAAGTATCTATGGTGAGACCAAATCACATCCTCACATTGCCGGATTACTGAACAACCTGGGTGCATCCTGGGGTGACCTGGGTGATTACAGAAGAGCAGTCAGCTACTATGAAGAGGCATTGCAGATGAGAAGGGACATCTATGGTCAGAGTACACCACATCCTGCCATAGCCACATCACTTAGCAACCTGGGGACAGCCTGGCAACATCTGGGTGATTACAGGAAAGCAATCAGCTACCATGAACAGGCACTTAAAATGTCCAGAAGTATCTATGGTGAGACCAAAGCACATTCTCACATTGCCACATCACTGAACAACCTGGGTGCATCCTGGGATGCTCTGGGTGATTACAGGAAAGCAATCGCTTGCTATGAAGAGGTACTAAAGATGCAAAGGGAAATTCATGGTTATGGTACACCACATCCTGCCATAGCCACATCACTAAACAACCTTGGGACAACTTTGTACAAACTCTGTGATTTCAGAGCAGCTAACAGAACTTTCCTAGAAGCTTTGGTTATGGCAAAGCAAATCTTTCCTCAGGACCAAAACCATCCATTGATAAAAAAAATTGAAAGGAACCTGGCAGAAAACCAGCTTAAGGCTTCCATCATTCTATTTCAGTCACTTTGCAAAATAGCATAAAAAGCATTAGAAACACATTACAGGGCTCAAAATACTGGGTGCATGTGCAACTTAGTGCACCCAAATTTGGAGCTGTGCACCCAATTTTTCTTCTGTGGGTGCAAATATTTTTGTAGGCCCCAACCCCAGCCCTAACCCTAACTCTGAAGCACACATATGTGTACCAGTATACATGATGTCAAAGTGTTCTCACCTGTGAGAGTTTAGCCAGCACGCGGCTGTCAACAGGTTCCTCTTGCGGCTGCGACACCTGCTGCGCCTGAAGCTCCTCTATCTCATCTAACAGCTGCGCTTCTCGCACCTGGAATGGTCAAAGTTAACAAAATAAGAAGCTATCACATCTGCATAAACCATTTGACTGCTTAAGTTAAGGATTCTTATCTGTTGATAAGAGCATTATGTCATAATGCTACAAAAATGTATACCCAGACTGCTTGAAAATGTTCTGAAGCAAAAGACAGTCAAAGTTATCCGCCAAATGTTCAACCAGTAAAATTTTTGTGATTAGTTTTTAGATTATGTGTACTACCTTCATAATGTATATAGTGTAAATCTCCTTTTGTATATGTGTGTAGTGTGTTTTAACTATGTTATTACCTTCGCCAAGAAGGTTATGTTTTCAGGGGCGTTCGTGTATGTGTGTGTGTGTGTGTGTGTGTGTCTGTCAACACGATAACTTGAGAAGGCCTTGATGGATTGTCTTGATACTTGGTAGATGGGTAGGTCTTGATGAGACCTCAAAATGATTAGATTTTGGACCCCCTAGCGGCTTGTTATGGTACTGCAGCTGAACTTCCGGTTTTGATATCTCAAGATCCAGACATGCTATGGTAATGAAATTTGGATGGTAGGTAGCTCTTGTGCTGTGGAAGAAGTGACGTGAGTTTAGGCCCCCTAGCGGCTTGCTCTAGAACTGCAGGGGGGTTTAAAGGACAAATGTTTAAAAGAGGATAACTCAAGAACTGATTGATGGATCATCGTGATTTTTGGCATGTAGGTAGCTTAAGTGATGGTTGACATAATGATATTACAATTATGCGAATATTGATGTAATTTGCATAATTAATGAGGAAATTCTATAAATCAGCTGCATTCCATGATAGGAAGTTCAAGCTTGTAACATATGTTATTAAGAACGAGAGAAACACAGGCAAATATTGATTATGCAAATGAAGACTTAATTTGCATAATTAATGAGAAAATGTTATAATTGCGTAGTGGTAACTGCCTGGAATTTCATACTTGTGGTGTTTGAAAGTTAAGTGAAGGTGAACATAATTAAACATAACTTATTCAAATAAGGACCACATTTGCATAATTTATGAGAAAATGGCATTCTTTGTTAAGATAAGACTGTCTTTTGGTGGAGAATATGATCAACAGACTGATATAATTCATGCAATTGAGGATCCTATTTGCATAATCAGGGTGATTAGTATATTTCTTATTCATAAAGGCTAACATCATTTGGCGAAGGTATGAGATCGTGGAACTCTAGTTGTTACATGTTTTTCTCAAATGAACCCTCAGAAGATTAGCCTTTTGGCTAAAGGGTATCGAAACAAAGAGAAATAAAGAGAAGAGAGAGACAGAATGGTATCTCAGGTTGAATTTACAGTTAATGTAAAAAGGTGCTGTCTGAATGTCTAGTAATATAATATTATGTACAATTTTTGTGCAATGATGATATCAAAGTACCTATAGTCAACATAGGAACCAATATGTATGTATTCATTGGGTTGGTAATGCTTTAACAATCTTCAGTTCAAATGTGCAATAAACATGTACGGTGTATGTAATTAGTGATAAGGATCTTAAATTGTTAATAAATTCCAGATGGCTTTAATAAGTTAATAAGTTCCCATGTGAAGTATGATATCTTGTGCATAGCTATTAAAGCACAGCTATTAAAGCACAGCTATTAAAGCACAGCACAGCAAGTCTATAAGTCAGGCAGAGCAGAGAAAGACTTACATGTACAGTCCAGAAGAGCTTAAACCAGCTGAAGAGAGTCTATAGGAGGTAGAGAAAGAGGAAGGAAGCAGGAGCATGGCTGTTAGAAATACTGCAGTTCAACATCTTCAAGTATAAGGCCACAACAATTTAATTTGTTGATTCTCTGACATATATTATGTAAAATTTTAGCAAAAGGACATCAAGAAAAAAGGCTGTAGTATTGTAGTATATAGCAGTTTCTGAGAAATTAGATTGGTGTGGCCAAAGCAAAAGCTGGCAGAGAATGACAGCTGCAAGCAAGGTACATGTACATGAAAGATTTCTAGAAGATTGCTAGTTTGGAGCCACCCACCCTGATTACAGCTAAAACTGTCCTAGTTCCTAGCGCTGTATAGGAAGTAGGTAAATCTTATATATTGTCTTGTGATAAGAATTCAAAGAAGGTAAATCTCATAATATATTGTCAACTGAACTGTTTAATTCAATGTGGTTAATAAATTTTACTTTGTCAGCCACCTGTTGTTTGAAGTGTTGGTGTGAGGTAGTGAAACAAGAATTGGTTACATATACTAGTACATTTGTATATGATACTTCTAATGAACAAGAAATCATAGATTTTAGATCACTCCTGTGAAACCTAACTTCAAAGGACTCAATTCCCCAGGTCTCATGCAGTGCAGACTCAACACAAACAATCAAATAACATGACCAAAAACAATGCTTCTGTCCTGAATGTAATTAAGATGAAACAAAACCCACCTGTGCTTCCTCCAGCTCTGTCCTGACTCAATTCCACAGATCTCAGGGAGAATCGACACAAACGAACTATCAATTTGACACGACCAAAAACAATACTTCCGTCCTAGTAACACCCACCTGTGCTTCCTCCAGCTCTGTTCTGAGCTTCTCGCTCTGTTGGCCAATCATCTCTAGCAGAGACAACAGCTCATCCCCTCCACCCTGTTCCATGCTGGTCATGAAGCTCAGGAGGCTCATGGGAGACGGCATGCGCGTCGGGACCGGGGTAGACTGCATCCTAGGGTTCGAAGGTGACCCTGGGGTCGGTGTTGAGAGCGAAAAATCCGGAAGTTTGGTCAGTTCCGGGTCTTGGAGGTCCTCCGCACGGAATATAACTCCTTCGGATAGTAACGAAGAGTTCAGCACGCCCGAAATGTTGGCGAAGTTACCGAGTTTTGGCCCGTTCTGGTACGGGTAGCCAGAATCAGGGTTGAGGTAAAGATTTCCGTCAGAACTGCTGGAAGGTCCGTTTTTACACAGCGCAGTTGAGCTCGAAAATCCCGAATCTCCGTTTGGTAAAGATTTCACGCGGATGTTTGTTAAAGAAGACGACTTCTGTCTGTCCTGAGTGTGATCGTAAGAGCTCTCATCATGCAGATTAAACGTGGAGTTAAGGGGTGTTGCCTTCAGGGCAGCCTCTAGCTTCTTACCTGTGTCGGAGAGAATGTGTAAACGTTGTTCCTCAAATGCAGTGGAAGAAGACGAATATCATTTCACATCTAATTGTTCATCTTATAATGATATCAGAAACCAATAATTTACCATTGTGTCCAAAAGGCACCCTTACCTTCCCTCATCAGGTGAAAACAATTTTACTCCTCACCATCATAGCTCAGGGAATTTTACTACTAAAATCAAAGAATCCACATATTACAGAAGAAGTGGGTAAATTCATCTCCCACTTCCTTAAAAGAAGAAGTGAAACCCAAACCCAACAAAATTAGTACCACGTATGTCGTAGAATGTAGTATCACATAGTTTCTTATTTCTTTGTATCTTCTTTTTCAAACATGTTGTTTGTATTATGTATTTGCAATTAACCCTCAGGCATGTATTTTATATAACCTTTCTTACCAAACTCGTCTGCCGAGAAAGTCAAGTCTTCATCGTGGCTGCCCGCTTTCCCGTTGGTCGATGGCGGCCACTCTCGTTGCGACTTCACACTGAGTTCCGAAGTGGAGCTTTGCGGGGTCATCGTCCCCATGGTACCTTCGCGACTCAACATCCCGCTGTCGCTTGTCCGCTTGTCGGATACCGAACTCGGCGAATCAAGCGCATTTCCCGCTCGAACTTGCTCCAGCGAGCCAGTACGTACAGATAGTGGCTTTGCCCTGTTCTGGGCCAATCCCTGGTTAAAAGTTTGGAGTAAATCTCTCGTTAGGTATGTTCCCGATGCGCCACTCATTTGGTTAGCATCTAAAGTCCCTCCTCCAGGTGTGAGACTTTCCCGAATCTCTTCTGCAAGAGACTTCTGCGGGCTGGGTTTATGCTGAGACGCCAGCATGGAGTGGTCTAAGGTTTTCCCCGCGTTTAAAACCGCTGTGTCTACGTCTGTAGAGCAAGTCAGTCTGCTCACTCCACTCACACTGCTGTGCAGGGAGGAACCACTCACCGTGCTTCTACTCGAAACATCACTAGCACTCCTCTCTTTCACTCCCTCGTTCTGACTTCTCTGCTGACCTTGATGCGGTGACCTGTGGTAGAAAAACCCAATCATCTTACAAACTGAACAGTGCTTACCGTAGAACTGAGAGAATTTTCGGAACTTAAACTTTGTTTCTTGTTCCGAAAATTCCTTTGTAAACATTCACTAGTACTGAGGTGTCGGATCAACAACTGAAACGTTTGCTTATTAAAATCTTTATCCAGTGCGAAAAGACTATTATATATTATTAGTAATTACTATCTTACTGTTATTATTACCTTGAGTTTGAGGCGTTGTCGTAACTTCTCCCATTTGAAGGACTTGGCTGTAGACTCCTGTTGTTGCTACTCAGTCCTGGTGAAGACTGAGACAGGTTTGTGTTGGAGGTTCTCTGAGGTGAACGGTCGCGGCTTCTGGACTGGGGAGAACCGACAAGGCTGGAATTTGGGCTCCTGATGGGGGAGAAGTTGGACGAGGACAGGGTTGTGGTGGACTTGAGCAGGCCGGGGTCCAGTTGTTTGGACAGGGAGGCAACACTACTGTTGGGGGACTGGACAAACAGACATGTACAGATTAAAATACAGTAACTGTAACAATTTTTTTAAGTTAAAACTTTTGATACAACACAGAGTTCTCTCACCTGAGAGCTTTAATTTGATCAGTCACTCTGGTCTTCCTTTAAGTTGACTGACTCAGTGAAAAGGCACGTCACATGGCTTCTTCTTTCACAGTACCAATGCTTCTTTTTTATAGTATAAGATATATACACATTAATATTACACATACTTTCTTATGCATCGTATGCCTGCTGGATGTACAAACTGGTATTAGCAAGAACGGCACCATTGCTGCAATAAATTATACATATTTTGTACCATGTGATAGCAAAGTATGAACACAATGTTGTACCTGAGTGAAACTCTGTAAAGCCTCCTGTTTGAAACTCTCCAGTGACTTCAGCTGTTCCTGCAGGAGCTACAACATCACAGAAATAAAGAAAGTTAGTAAAGCCACAGATGTAATAAATGTGTGAGATTAAGGAACACTTGGCTTAAAGTTTTTATCAAACCTAGCAACATGTGTCAACAGTATAAAATCCTCCTTAGAGACACTGTACCTTGTTTAAAGAGTCTACTTCCAGGCAAGACTTGTTTACCTAGGCTAATGCTCTGTCTGTACAGCCCTCGTTCCTTATTGAATAGACTATCCTCAAAATTAAAAGAAATCAGAAAAATTATTTCATAACTTACTGAATTCAAACAAATGCAACCTCACTGATGTTATTACTGTCTTCAGTTGTGTAGAACCTCAAAAATTTAATCTTTAATCTAAAAAAAACATTTCCCTGCAACTCTACTTCTTTAAAAAAAGGGTCCTTGGAGGCACTCATAGCTCTACACATAAGTGGGTCGTTACAAAGGCACAGAACACTTTCTCTGAATGTGACCTATGACATGGAACCTTGCCCTGTGACCTGTAACCACTTGTTGTGACCTTAACTCCTGAAGATCTTAAATCTATTTTTGTAACCCCTTCAAGCATCTCCAAGTGCACTTTAAAGTGTGTATTTTGTAGATTGCTAATTGTTAAGGGTAAATGGATTTAAGGTGTCTACTGTGACTCCTTGACCTGAAGTTAAAAGTGTGTATTTTACACTTACTATAGTGCTAGCCTGTTCCCAATGTGAAATGTATGTGTACACTGAGCAGCATTCTAGCAAGCCTGAATTTTTTTCTGTCATCTCAATTTTGTTTGACATAACATCATGTGAAGAGCTGGAAATCTCTACCCTCTGAAATGCTACATTCTGCATTTTGAGGGGCAAATTTTGCCAGTAAACTTCGAGCTTAGTTAAATGACATGTCTTTCCATATCTTTGTACGCCAATATTTGTTCATCAAAGATGACAGATTGGGCAAATTTTTGTCATGTGAGGCAAAATTCCATCAAATGGCTAGAATACTACTTCAATGATCTTGTACTGACAAGACAATGACCTTGAACTGACCTTGATGGATGCCTGTTGTTTGGCCTGCTGTTCCAGAAGTACTTGGATGGGACGACCTCCTTCTGTGGGACAGCAAAAAAGAAAGGCATTAAGTATCATTATTCATTACATGCTTTGGTCTTAACCTCCTCCCTACTAAGAGATGTAAATAGAACATAAACAAAATATATGTTAGCTGAAGAGTTTGGGAGCAGGGAAAGTGTTACTACTTGGAACTTAACTTTAACCATAAGCTAAGGGGTCCTGAATTGACAATTTTTAGCCACGTTAGTAGCCCGTTAGTAGTTCCATATCATTTTACAGCAGATTACGAGAAATGTGAACTCAAACCTGGACCCTTGACACCCTTTTGTCCCTTATTTATAGTGCACTATATCATGGACCGCTGTTGCAGAAGAATTGGTGTGTACACCATTAAAGTTTTGAGAATGCTAGGCAGAAAAATAGTTAACTTACCCCCTGGCTTCTTTGGTGAACTGGCAGTCTTCTGTGCACCAGCTGGATGAGTCTGTAAGAAAAATAATTCAGGTTACATTTACCCCATTCCGTTGTGTCATACAAATACATTTTTGTAAGATAGTAAATAATTCTGTATGACTTCTTACAGACAATATTTTCTCAAATCAAGTACATGTAGAGAAATGCTGGCCTTTCATAAAAACATCATCCACAGTGACTCGCATATGGAAGATATCAACTCAGACTTGTAACACTGTTCTGCAACGCCCTTCCACCCACACACCAAAATTTATGAGAAGAACTTTAAGTGGGAAGGTCTATAGTACATCTTCCGTTCGTCTAAGGTTGCAGAGAGTTACTCAAAGTTGCAAGGCTGATTTCTTCTAACTACTAGAAAAGTAGTAATCTTTAGGTGTACATCTTTTGTCGTAACTTCCAAGAAAACTGCCCGAGTTTAAAATCTGGTCTGGCACAGCCCCAAAATTGTCAGACAAATCTGTTTATGTCTCTGACTCACTACGAAATGAGAGCAAGCTAAAGTACCTCAATCCAATCTACCCACTCACTCACACTCACTATCAAAGTTGCAATAGATGTCACAATCCCCCTCAAGTTAACACAAAAATTCTCCTGTAACAGATGCTTTTACCCAGTTCAATAAAAATAGGATCAAACTTAGCTTATAAATCTGTTTATGTCTCTGACTCACTTTAAAATGAGAGAAAACCAAAGTAAAAGTGTCTGAATCCAATCTATGCTTCAAAATTAAAGTTGTAATGGATGGCATAAACTCCAACAAGTTACCACAAAAATTCTACTAAACAACAGTAACTGTAACAGTTGTTTTTACCAAGCTCAATAAAAAATTGAATCGGAGCTAGCCTTACGACATCCTTCCATAAAGACAGCATGCAACCCTTTCCAGCTGTTATGATCCAAGTGAGGTTAGCAAAACTGGCTGGGATTCAAACCCTCGACCTCCAGATCCAGAACTACAGGTCCAAAAAACAACGAACCACCCCTAATATGTCCCCTTAAGTGTGACCTACCAAATAAAATTCTAGTCTAAGGACTGCAACCCTTAGCAACAGTTTTCAAGTAAGGCAAGCAATGCTGAGATTTGAACCCTCAACCTTTTGGTCCAGAAACAGGTCAAACAACCATAAAAACGCTTAATGAGACTCAAACTCTTGACCTGTGGGTCCAGAAACAGGCCCAACAACCAAAGAATCACCTCTGTTTCAACCCAGCTTATATAAGTTTGACCTACCAAATAAAATTCCAGCCTAAGGACTGCAACCCTTTCCAACGGTACTCCAGCAATGTGAGTAACACTAGTTGGGACTCAAACCCTCAACCCTTGGTCCAGGAACATGACCCTACAACCAGTGAAGCACCATCCCTTTACCCCACCCAGAAAAATTCCAGCCTGTAGTTTTATGAGACAAGGCATTGGAAAGACACACTCAGCCCTTTGGCATTTACACATGTTCAACAACAAGTTGCCACCAGGGCTCGAAATATAAGGTGCATATATATGGACCTTAGTGCAGGTAACATTGGGGCTGTGCATGTATTTCTATGATGTCTACCTGTACCTAACCTGTACTGGTCCATGTACTGGGTATATGCAGATTAGTGCAGGTAAAATTGGAGATGTGCAGGTATTTCTGATGTCTACCTGTACCTAACCTGGTCCATGTACCAATGAAGTATAAATTATAATCATAACGGCAGTGGTTTCTGAACAGTTTTTAGTATGATCCATGCTTCCTGAATTCTAAGTGGTAAAATTTGACTGGTGCAGGTAATTTTCAATGTTGCCTGCACCAGTGCTGGCCTCTACCAGGCTTCGGGAGACAGCTGGAAAGAATAGAACTTGGCCAAATGGAGAGATAACATACCCATGGAAATGCATGGTCCGCTAGAGAGTACATTTTGTTGCACTAGAGGCTTCACCAGTGCAGGTTTTCAGAAAAAAATGATTTCAAGCCCTGCCAACCCACCACCCAACAGCAGGATCTGATTAAATGTCCTCAAGGAGACGAAACAAACTTGGGGAAAACATGGCTGGGTGGATCCTGCCAGAAGTTTAAAGTTCCCTGAGGAAGTACAGCTGTTGCAGTTAGAGGTCTTGATATCGAGCCAACTTTGAAGAAACTTTACAGAAGGCTTACGGTTAACCCAAGAAAATGGGACTAAGAGATGGTTGGTGGAAATTTAAGTTTATAGTCATATATTTTGTGATTCTTACATTTATGAAATATTTGATAAATCTTAAAAGAGAGTCGTATTGACATCATAATAACTCTTAACATTACCATGAGAGCTCATCTGTGTTGGTAGTAATTATAGTAAAATGTTGAACTTTATTCCAACACAACGAATACACAGTGATGAAATTTTCGACGACCACTGTCGCCTTCATCAGGATAATTAATGACCAGTCACTTCCAAACGTAAACTCTTAATATTAACATGACTCTTTCCAAAATCACAGCATGTCTTGCCTGGAGTGTAGTTGAAACATTATACCTGTTGATGTACAGACTGATGTTGGCTTTAGGCCAGGTCTTGAGGAATTTTAATAAAGGTTTAAGTCAACACAACAGGGGACAAGGTGGTGAGTGGAGAATATGCGGGGTCAACAGTTCAAACAAAATCACTCATTTCTTTACACTTAATTTTCTTTTCTCAGGTTTAAAAGATTTCTTGAAGACATGATATTAACATCAAGCGACAGTACTCTTGAAAACTGAACGAAAACTGTAATTTTAACGTTTCTTTTTGTTTCTTGCTACCAGGGTATGTACATGCATGTACATGTACTACTACATGTTAGACAGCAACTCAAATAGAGGGTCTCATGATTGAATTGAACATGAAATAGCATAAAGGAATTTATCAGTGACCCTGCTTTTGGACCCAAAGATTGAGACTTTGAATCTCAACCTGCTCTTTCTTCAGTTGGGAGAGTTGCAAAGCTCCAATTTTACCCACACTAACCTGCATATTACCCAGTACATGGACCAGTCTAGGTTAGGTGCAATTTTACCCGCATTTACCTGCATATGCAGTCGGTATTTTGAGCCCGGCTATACAGTCCTATAGACTGGGTGCCATCGAATTTGTAACGGCAAACCCCGAAAAATATTTTGTTTGGCGTTACAAATCGGACGGCACCCAGGATAACAGTCCTAACCCTTTTAAAAAAGAAAACGTCTCACTTTTCTCTGATGTGTCGGCTAGCAGGATCCTCAATTTTACCTGCACTCACCTACATACATGTATGCAGGTGGTATTTCAAGCCCTGGTAATATGGCCTTGACCATTTTTCAAAAAGTAAATGTCTGACCTGTCTGTGAGACTGTGTGGTTCGCAGGAGTTTTGGTGCGTCTGCGAGCAGGATCCTCCCTGCCTGAGCCAGAACTGATGGGTCCTCCTGGAGTAGGGAGATCTGGAAGGGACAGAATTATAACAGCATGAATACATGATTGTATACTTTATTGACACAACAAAAGTACAGCAACTTTTGTAAGGTCTATAACTAAACGGCACTGACGAGTCCTCTTGGAATAGGAAACAGAATTATAACAGCATTAATACATTGTATACTTTATGCCAAACCAGTTTGATTTGTTGGTTCTTGGACTTTTAAAAAAAAATTTGAAGAGACAGGGTGAAAGACAATAAGAAATAAAAATGCATCCTATGATACTGTTTCTCCAAATGATACAATGTATGATTGGAGCCATGAAGTTAACATACTGGGCTGGTTTATAATAAAAACAATGAATTTCAAACTTTTGTTCATAGCACTGCATTGTTACTAATGTTAGGGGGAAAACTGTTAGGAGGGAACAGAATTATAATAGTATAAATACATTTTATACTTTATTAACACTACAAAAGTACAGTGACTTTTGTAAGGTCTATAACTAAATATACCAACAAAGTTAACATGGATACAAAAGAATTAACCTAATACATGTACATGTAAAAGACCCTGAATTGCTAGAGCCTTTAGGCTGTCCGTTAACAGAAGGGAACAGTTCAAAATAAACAAATTTGTCACATAAACACCACGCTTGTTTAACTTGTCCAATGTGTAAGTTATATCCCTTAGCTACTGTGGAACTTAACAAGAACAAGAATAAATTGGGAAGAATGTCATTGTTAAAAGGAGATCTTAAACCTTCTTGTTTAACCGAGTAAAATAATGAATACTTAAAGGTTACATTGTGTACATCTGATTCAGTTTATTCTGGATCCTCTTGGACATTTTAATGTAAAAGTTATGATTTCAAAATGAAGTTTAAGAGCTTGGAAAAAAACTTGAAACTGACTTTATTCACTGTCTTAAACTGTGTTTACCTGCTTATATTCAGATATAACCTGTTTTCATATTTATGCATCGATGAAGGTTAGACATCAAAGACATGGGATACACAAGAAAACAGTTACTCAAACAACCTTTTCAACATCTATAAAGACTGGAACTCAAAAAATGCTGAAATATCAAGAAGAAAACAACCAGGGATTGAACTGATTGGACCATTTCAAGATACAGGTTTCAACTATGTGATACTTAAGATAATTATAGGTCTTAATGATGTGTTGAATGAAACATTGCTACTTGAATCACTTGGCAACATCACAATTCCCTAGATCACATGGTTCAGACCACAGAAGGATACAAAGTTAGGTAAACAATGTAAGGTGAGAGAAAGTCAATATTGATATAAAGTCAGCAGCCAGAAAAAGTTGTAACAAACTTTGGTAGACAAGGTCTATACATGTATGTGCTACCATACAGTGATATGTTGGCATGTATTACCTGTACTTTATTTTGTATGATTGCCTAACAATTGAACCTTATATATACTCTTTTTTAATCTGTAGATTTCCAAAATAAAACCTTACTACTGCAGTCAAATGTGCCCAAATTCTGATAAACAGAATCAAATACTATTCATATTATGAGTTATTGTACAACATCTACAAATGATACATTGTTGAATGGACTGAAAATGTAATCCTCTATAAGTTTATTAATTTCTTTTAATAAATTATAGTTTTGAGCTAGGTACATGTAATTTGTATACTCAACAGTTGCTTTCAAATTACATATTAATCAAGATGAATTAGTATCTGAAAAGCTTTTAACTAACCTAAAATCCATGGTTTACAGAGGGTTTATTTCTAACAATACATCCACCATCTCGAACCACATCATAGGTGAGTTATTGCCTTGCATACCTACATGTACATGTATAGTACTGGTAACAACAGGTAAAGAATGTTAAACCCTGGACGTTTCACATACCTGGTTCTCGGTGGAAACCCTCACACCTGTAAAGTGTTTCACCACCTGTCCAATCAGTTTGAAAGAGTAGATACTACTGCCAACTGTCTCCATACTGCGATATTTCTGTACAAACAGCTCCCAACAATATCCCTCTTTTTTTTTAGCAGAAGGATTTTAGACTCTGAGTCCTTTTTGACTGAGTCCAAGACTGGACACTGTCTCCAAAAGAGGAGTCAGAACTACAATAGAGTTGCTTAAGAAATTGTCATGTCTACCATAATATATGGTAGCAGAACATAAGAATCTTGATCTAAAATGTTCAAATGAGAGTCAAAAAAGAGTCATGTTTGGTTCGAAAAAATTCTAACTGCACTGTGTTGATGACAGACAAGTTGGTTCATTGTCAGACCAGTTTTTCCTGTCAACACAATGATATTTATCTCACCTTCTTTGTCTGGTGCAAATGAGTTCTAGGTTTGATTCCCTGGCAGGCCCCTGTGTTGAACCCTTGGAAAAGGCACTTTACAGCTATTTTCCTCACTCAACTCAGGTGAAAATGAATACCTAGCTTTGGTTAGGGATGAATTCTACAAATGTACATTTTCTATATCTGCATGTTTACATCAACAGTTGAGTAGTCTGTAAAAAAGGCAGGGACAAGTAATGGGTGGGGGCATTAGTCTATAATTAATTTGAATAACAAAAGCTTAATCATCTATTTTTAATTACTGCAAATTGTTTAATTGTTCTCATTTTCTCTAAGTTTCATGAAGCCATATGGAACACATTCGCTCACTTCTTATAAATTAAAGGCGACCATTCTACAATCTTTCTACTGTGACACAAAAACATTTTACTGAATATAAGAAAAAAAGACAGCGTGTTGTTATTGAAATATATCAACGAACACGAATGACAAAAGTATCAGAAAACATTTGTTTTGCAGGCTTTACAAGGTCATTTACCTTTTCATGTTGTTTGAAAGTGATGAAAGAAAAGGCTTATCTAATTAGGTACAAGAACTTCAAATCATACCTTGCTGTGGCCGCAACTCTTTGAACACTTAAAGGACTGTGTATTTGATCTATTACATTACAAAGAACTGACAAAAGAGCTAGGGATGTTTTTCAAGTGCAAAGCTGGAGCATACAAGCTTGTTTTCGCCTGAACAATTGTGCAGTTAGCCTCACTCGATACCCTATAGTCCACCTCAGTCTTTTCGCAGTAAACACAAAAACACAACTTGATCTTTCGCCTTTTCAAGAGTAACCTGTGCCCACCTTTGAAGCATAAACAACTTGCATACAAAATGTCGTAAACACGTAAAAAACCATTGCACCACCACAAGATACTACTAGTAGTAGTAGTATGATGACTATTGGAAAAGTTTGATGAAAAAAACCTGGTCCCAAAGTTTATTTAGTGAGAGCAACGAAGCACAGAGGAAGGAAAACAAATTATGTTACACGAAGGGAGGAGAGCCGTGCGTTTTCGTAAGGCCACAACAAAAGAAGGAATTTGTTGAGACAACATAGCGGGGGTTTGAGGTAACAACTGACGATAGTCGTCTTGGCTTAATTCTGCTCCAGAAGATCAACAGATTAGAGATTATGTCTGACTAAGATTTAATGCGAGCTGCTATGTGTAAAATGTATACGAGGATATCAATGATTCAGTAGTAGAGCAGGAATATACAATTAATTCGCGAAGATAGGTACTGACATTGAATACTACTGACTTCAGGCTATATCTGTCATCCAGCTTTTTTTCAAGATTTCAAGATTTAACCTTAGAACTACATTTGATTTGAGATTACTCTAGCTACCAGATTTGTGCATTCACAACACAATCCAAAATGGTACATCTTAAATGAAGCATGAGTTGGCAAGTTACTATATAAGCCAAACACGTGTATTGAAAAGACTGAATAAAAGAAAAGCAAATAGTAGACTAGTATGCTAACACTAAGGGGTAGAGACTTTTGAATACTATTTTTATGTAAGAACTACTATTATAAGGCTACTGTTAGGTAGGACTTTCTCAGATGCTTCGCAGTTTAGACAATCAGGCATAACCTAAACCAGGTTCTACCACAATTCTTTACCTTCGCACAATGTATGAATGACTGAGTAAAAAAACGGCCAGGCCCGTCCAAAGAAACGTCCCAATGTGAGAGACAATGACCGTTTTGCTTGACTTCTAATCCCCCCACACTGAGCGCCACACTAGAACAAACAAACTCCCCACACACTTAACACTACGCATACCTCCTGGACTTAGGAATGTCTTCAGTTTGACCCCCTTGAGTGAGCTGGCATAAGTTCCTACCCATCCATGGAAAACCGTTACTCCAAGCTGACACCACGATATCTACACACCGACCGGGGTCAGGGACCTACGGGGGCCGTCGCAGAAGTTCTGTGGTCCTCAGTAAACGAAGTTAGGTCGGGCAACACTTTGGGGTATCTCCAAGGTAACTCTAACCTTACTGAAGCCTTCAAATCGATTCTGCAAAGATTATACACACCACAGGTGTTTTTGTCAATTTTTTGTTAGGATGTTTTGAAGCGATTTTTCTACTGGCAATACTTGGATGTTTTGTGGCGATACCCTTTGAATGCCCCCCACAAAAACATTGGCAGAAACTTAAACCTAAACGGAGAAAAGTGACCCCACCTGTTCTATGTTCAACACAATTGACATGCAAATGAGCCTCTGACAAACCAAATTCTTCCTCTAACCTCAATTAGGTCGAAAGAATGAAAGGACTTGCAAGGGATACATTCATGCACTGTTTGAGTTTTTCTTTCAAAAGTCAAAGAAGAAAATATTGTACTCCTAAATCAACTTTTTGGGATGTAAATACATTGTACATGTAGAAATTTTCTTTATTATGATTTACAGAGAGTGTGTAAAGTGGCTTGTAGTACTTCGATGGCATAAATAACTTGATTTATGAATTACAAATGGTGAGCGGAAAACACTTTGAAGGCCAATGTCTACAGTTTTTTACCAGCATTGAGAAAGTCTTTTTACTTCATGATACATGTTATATAATTAACTAAAGGTGCTTAAGTTTAGATACATGTATACCGATTTTGGTGATTTGTTTGGCATATTTTTGATTGGAAATGTGTTACAACTTGACAATTTTTTTCCAATTAGCCGGCACTGGCTTTTCAAATAGGGGGTACTATAAACAATGGCATCAATGGGAATAGGTTTGGGTTTTCACAATTCTTTTTAATTGGCAGGATTTGTTTAAAAAAACGTTTTGCAAATAACTGGCATACACTGTAAAACACATTGGAGAAATCTTACATGTATGTTTAAAAATTTCCGTAAATAATTTCATCATCAGGTTGGAAGATACTTAGGGTATAGAATTTTCTTCTTACACAACCAGTAAGGTTCTCACCTGCTTACGCTGTTAAATAGCGGTGAGTTGCAGAACTCCAGTCAGAAGCTCTGAGGAAGGTGTCTGATAGACATTGAAACGTAAGCAGGTGAGAACCTTACTGGTTTTGTAAGAAGAAAATTCGATACCCTATGTTTAAAAATGATTGAAAACCTTAACTTCTGAAACTGTGCCTATATGAATGTTTCCTTCCTATCTAAGTGGGCACTGTGCTGTAAAAGCCTTAACTGCAGTCTGCACATGGGACCACTTCCTGACAAATATTTAATCTCCAAGCAGATCCCTCTCGGTGGCAAAAAGACAGTATCAAATTGGCCAGGCAGTATCCATTAGCCAGAGAAGCTCCGCGGCCACCGACGGGTGGTGGGGGTCAGGACAAACAAAACGGCCATATATAAAAAGGTAACGATCTTTCCCCACAACCTCTGCTTGGAGAGTAACAAATATTGACATCTTGTCAACAACTCAGAGGCGATAATTATGACTGAAGGTCAAGAGATTAAAGGCACTGTAAAGTGTTAATCGTTTTTTCTGCATCAATGCATACTAGTAATGTCCAGTTTGCCTGCTTTGTATATTTGAAAACAAAATAATACATAAAGAAGGAAAAACAAGGGATAAGACAAAAGGAAGAAAAAGATTTAAAAAAAAAACTCTGAATTCAGAAGTAAAAGATACTAGTAGTATCTGATTCTGAGATAGTTTTAACTAAAAGTTAAGTCCTACATTTGGTAAATGCACGTCATGTAACTTACATGCATCACTTATAATATCCAAAAACTAGACAATTTTAATCTCAACTCATTAACATGCACCCATTATTTTGAGCCCTGTTAACATTATTATACAATAATTATCAGTTTAAAAATACAGTTATTGAGAGTTTAATGCAGACCTTGGGAAAGCAAGTGTGCCCCAGCCTCTGCTTGTTGAACCTGTTGTATATCCCTGATCATCTCTGCATTTACATGCTCTTTATCAATCAATAACAAGTTAGCCAAGGTAAAAGCATGGTAGGATTCACGTAATCTCTCTACACAAAAGGACTTCATCCCCGCAAAAAAGGGACACCTGTGCTTGTTTTCTTTCTCCCTTTCAGGTCACAGCAGTAAGAAATGGTTCTGTTGAAAGCACGGCAGATTTTGTATACACAAAACACAAAAGGAAACCCTGCGTTTCACCCTCTTGGCTATGATCCATTGATTAAGGCCACAGCAAGTAATTTTTATGGATGACATCAGCATGCGCATTAATTTTCACCTGATTTTTTGGAAAAAAACCAAGAAATTTTGTTGCCTTCTGGCAGTGGTCAACATGCCGAAAATGGGAAAAGATGTCTGTTGCCATGCCGGGAGGTGGCTGGAAGATAACTATGAAGAAAGGAGACAAGAAAAGGCTCTGAGTGATTTAATATTTTGTTTCTCACTTTGATGCAGTGATATGTGATGTTGGCTGTGTATATGTGATGTTCCCACTGAATCAAAAGAATTAGTACACCGATTGACCCAAAATTTCAAAATGTAAGAACCTTGTTTTTTTTCGGCCTGCCTTTTCTTTTTTTGCCCGCTCGCATTAGATTTGGAGTCTGCGGAGGATGTCACCCATAAAATTTACTTGCTGGGGCCTAACGCTGCTACCAGCTGTTTTCATACGGTGGAACGGATGCAGATAATGTGTTAATGCACGGCTGTTACGCTTTAGGATGTTTACTGTACGTTAATAGTTTAATGGTTGTGGGGAGGTCTTGTTTTTGACTTGTGCAATTTATGATTGTAAATGATGTAAGTGTGAAAAGGGTAAAATCTATATTTTTGTCGTACCAGATGGCAACGCAATTTTGGAGAAAATTTGACGTCCCTAAACAAAAAATTGCAACAACATCAATTCCAACATCCGAATCTGGTACTAGTAATCAAATCTTTGAAAACTGGTGTACTCAGCGCTTGCAAAACGTGTTCAAATTAGGAAGCCCCTAAGAACCCTATTTGATAAGGGTAGTTATCACTTAGGCAAGAACACCCATATTGAAGGTTCTTTAAAGTTAAAACACAAAAAGTAAATGTTCTCAACTAGAGCTTTGGTCAGTCTACTGAGGTGACTTGTCAAAAGCTCTAGGTGACATCATTTACTTTCAGTGTTGGAACAAAAGTTTAACTTTATACATGTAACTAACACAGATGAACTTTAAATGATCATATCAAAGGTTATCGTGGCCCAGATATGATATACTGCATATCAAAACACAGTATCAACCACCTGTTGTAGTAACAGGTGCAGCTTACTCTCCATTAGGGGTTAAACTCATCTATAATTCACAACTAGCATTTACAACTACAATGCTTTGTATTAAATAAAAATGAGAGGTGGAAAATTAAAAGGCTAACAATCTTCCAACTACGTAGACAGCATGAGTAGCATGTATCACATGCTACATGGCTTTTTCATGGCTTTTCAAATTTAATTGTGATTTCAACACAATTTTCATAACATTTACAAGCCACATCTAAAATGCGTGGGAAGCAGTGTTCTAGGCAGTGTCCATCTTTCCATCATTTGATGGAATTTTGCTGCTCATGAAGGACAAAATTTTGACAGAAAATGTGTGCAAAGATAGGAAAAGAGATGACATTAAACTAAACTTCGTCTAACAGCAAAATTTGGTCCTCAAAATGCCAGAGGATCAAGAATTTCAATTTGTTCAAAATTTCCTATGATTGTCGATCTTCAGCATTCAACATGTCCAACAAAATTGAGATGACGAAAAATATTTCAAGGTAGCTAAAACACTGGTGGGAAGGGAAGTTTAATTGACATCTGTACTGCATACAGCACTGTCTACCATATTTTTCCATCTAGTAACAGCTCTGAAGATGGCCCATCATACAAAATTGATGCATAATAGGCACGACACAAGGTATAGCTGAGGACTATTCAATAACCAATAGTAGTATTGACAGCTGTGGCAATGTGCAATAAAGAAATGAATGCGGAGGAAAACTGAAGAATAAAGGAACAAAAGAGGTTGATCATCCCCATATATTGATCTTTTACTGTCCTCATATAGACAGATGAAAGCATATGATATGTGTTATGGAATCTTGTTATCAAAAATTCACGACTGGTTTCTATATTAGTATTAAACATTGAACAAGTTGCGATTCTCTATTCAGACATTCTATTGAATAATACAAGTCGTTTTTAGAGTTTAAATAAGGAATGTTTTTTCAAAGGGCAGGGGACCACACATTTATTTTGACTGAGGCCTCATGTCATGGCCTTTAGTGTAACACACCAGCTTCGCAGGCATACGGCACAGCAGCAGCTGGCTATATTACACCAAACAACCTGTTACATCTTTGCACATCTTTGCACATCCAACTGTAAATGTTGTCTAAAGCTATCAAGTGATGATGCCCCTACTGTACTTGGTGTCAGCCAGTGACTATGGTACCTGAAGGCATGACTATTTCTTGTTCTTTGGCTTTAGATAGTATTTAATACTTGGTGGTAATTGTTAACCACCAGTCTCTTACATCCAAATTGGAAAAGGAATTTCTTTTTAATGTCTGAATGAATTAATAGTTGTCTTTCTGAATGAATGAATGAATGAATGAATGAATGAATGAATGAATGAATGAATGAATGAATGAATGAATGAATGAACGAATGAATGAATGAGTAGATTGATGAACGAATGAAGGCAAGTAAAGATGCCTTAGTGCATGAACGAATGAATGTCTGAACGAACAAACAAACAAATGAACAAACGAAGGTGAGCAAAGATGCCTTAGTGCCTGGTTTCTTACCTTTCTCCTGAGCAAGGAATGAAAGGATGAATGATTGAGTGAGTAAGTGAATATAAAATGAATGAATGAACAGTTTCTTACCTTCCTCCTGAGCAGGGCTGTGTAGATCATGAGCGCGTGGTCGTCAGCTGTCCCATTCAGAATCTCGCTGGGACTGACGATCAGCTTTGACACCCCGAATTTCTCCTCCGCGGCCAGGACTGCGTTAGTCAGGGTCATAACATCTGTGCTCTGGGAAGGAAAAGCAACGCTTTAGCTAAATGCAACATATGTAATAGTCTTCATAGTCAAATTGGCTCGTGGCAAATAGAAATTCATTAATACATTGGTGCATCTAAACTTTATCCTGGCCATGGGTGCCATTTGATTTGTAACAGGGCTCCTTTGCACTTGGTACCGCAAAGAAATTTAGGTGCAGAAAATAATTGGGTGCCCAACATCTCTCTCTCTCTCTCCATCCCTCTCTCTCCTCTCTCTCTCCTCTCTCTTCCTCTCTCTCCCTCTCTATCTCAATTTTTCTATCTCTCTCTCTCTATCTATATCTCTCTCCATCCATCCATCCATCCATCCATCTGTATCTATCTATCTATGTATCTATCTATCTCTCTCTCCCTCCCTCTCTCTCTCTCCATCCATCCATCCATCTCTCTCTCTCTCTCCATCCATCCATCCATCCATCCATCTCTGTCTATCTATCTATCTATCTATCTATCTACCTAGCCATCTATCTCTCTCACTCTCTCTCTCTCTCTCTATGTATCTATCTATTTATCTGTCTATCTATCTCTATCTATCTATCTATCTATCTGAGGTAGGGCACTGCTGTGTGAGGATTAGATATGCTCTGCTGATCTTGAGCCAGGTGTATAAACCCTCTCACCTGTGCAGGTGACCCCAGGTGTGGCATGCAGCAGTACTTTCCTATCAGCTGGGTCAGCACCGAATGTTTGCTGTAGCTGAGGAGAAATTAGATAAGAAAGAAGATGTTATACAAATCAATATATGTGACTAGTAGACTACCTTGGGTATTTCACACACAAAATGGGTAAATCCATTTCTTTAATTCACTGGATCTACAGAATCTGAAAAAATAGACATACTTTCGAAAATAGTTTCATCAGGTTTGTAGAGAATAGGATATAGGAGTATTCTTTTACACAATCAAACTTCTCCTACATGTACCTTGCTTATGTTTTTGTCTATCAGACACCTTCCTCAGAGCTTCTGACTAAAGCGGCACCTACATCGGCTACATGTGTGTACATATAGCAGCGAGAAGCAGAACTACAGTCAGAAGCTCTGATGAGGAAGGTGTCTGACAGACCAAAACATAAGCAAGATAGAAGAAGTTGTGTAAAAGAATACTCATATATCAAATAGACCTACTTGTATGCCATGGAGCCATTAATGTTGATAGGCAGGTCTGGGAGTTGGGAGCTGCACCACTCCAGTAACAGTCTCTTCCCTACTCGAACTGTCCGCTGGAACGGGTTACAGTCTGGGAGACACAAAATAAAATAAGATAAAGTAAATAAGTAGTTATTACAAGTAAATTTGGTAGAAAGACTATTATCATAGGTAACTGTGTTTATAATTGATGTTGTGTGTAAAACAGGTTTAAACTGTAATTTCCAACACAAAAAATTCCAGTCTTTGTCAAGGAATGAGCAACCACTTCTGTGATGATACATGCTTTCCTACCTTTATTGTGTACTGTATAGTGTAGAATCAGGGCCCACACCACATCCAGTAGAGACTTCAGCTCCCCACACACAACACCTGGGGTGGGATGGGAAACAAAAATGATTCTCTGTATCTACAAAATGTGTACATACATGTTAAACGTTACATGCATTACTGAATGAGTACCGTTACCTCAAAATTCTGCCGGGTACTCTAGCTAAATATTTGAAAAAAGGTGGTCACTGCTGAAGATCTAAGTGTATGAATTGCCAGGTGATCCCTATGTAGAGGTGGTCACTCGTAGTGATGCATACCGGTTCACTGGACTTGGATCCGGACTTGTAAGAATGTTTAGGTTCAAGTCCAAAAAAAACTAAAAGTCAAGAACCGAGTCTGGACTTATTACCATAAAAGACCACGTCACATACCCCTTTTCTTTCCAAACCACCTAAAACCTTCCGTAGATTGCAAAATCTTTGCTGCAAAATGAAGAAAACATTGCCATCGGGCATCGTTAAGTACCAGCCTCCATCTTATGTGGCCAAAGTTTCACCCAGACAACATTGCAAGGTTGCCAACATGCAATTTTGTATATGCCATGGGTGTAGGTCCGGACTTGCAAGTCCAGAACTGAACCTAAACCTCTGGACTTGAATCCGGACCTGAACCTAAAATTGAGTTTAGGTATGCATCACTAGTCACTCGTACTGTATCAATAGCCAGATGATCCTAATTCTACATGTTAATGTAAAAGTAGCCACTATCACAGCTCTGACTATATATTACCAGGTGGTCATTTTGTACAGGTGATCACTAGTACTGTTACACAGACTGTATCAAAGTTTGATCGGTGTGGGTTTACTTAGACATGAGTAGATCAGTGTTACCCCTTGCCGTGACGTTGAGTTTGATGCCATGTTGTCTGAGATGACTCAGCACTTTTTCCACATTCTCCAGGCTGGCTGTCGGGCTGCTGATCTGTAATCATGGCAAAATCATTTTACAAAACATCGGCAAGCTTTTTTTAAAGCATTTCTTGCTTAAAATACTAGGTGCATATGCACCTTAATTAGTGCAGGTAAAGTTGGAGCTGTGCAGGTATTTCTGATGTCTACCTGCACCTAACCTTTTTAGTATGATCCATACTTCTAAAAAAAGTGAGTGGTACAGGTAAAATTTTCAATGCTACTTGCACCAGTGCAGATTATGCGGAAAAAAGTAGTTCGAGCCCTATTGTAGACATCCTTCTGTCTTCGAGCCCTACATGTATATGATAGATATTGCCATGGCACCTGGGTGGTTGGGGTGAGATGGGAGCCAGTCAGGATGTCCACCAGACAACACAACAGGGCTCCATTCTGCAGCTCAGTCAGGTCCTCGATCAGGTACCCTCCCTCACACAGCACGCTATTGGCCCAGCCCTGGTACACCTGCCAATCAGAAAACAGGGAGCCATATGATGCACCAATCAAGAGAAGCCTTACATGTCTTTGATCAAGTGCCTTCAACACATAGCTGTTACCATAGTAACAGATGGTTGCCATGGTGCTGTTACCATAGTGACAGATGGTTGTCATGGTACTGTTACCATAGTGACAGATGGTTGTCATGGTGCTGTTACCATAGTGAGAGATGATTGCCATGGTACCCTTACTCAGAGGATGTTGTTACCATAGAGATAGATGGTTGCCATGGTACCCTTACCTGGAGGATGGAGCTGAAGGATGTTGTTGCCATGGTAACCACTTCTCACATCACCTGGGCGATGACATCGTAGTCTCTACAGCTGCTCTGACAGCAACCTGGAACAGAAAGAGGGGACAGATGAGTTATCTGTGTCAAGGTGGTTTTGTAGTAATAATAGGTTTGTTGTCTTAGAATCTAAAGGTTCTGAGTTTGAATCCCTAGCAGGCCCTTACTAAATCTATTTTCTCACCCGACATGTGAAAATGAGTACCTTGCTATGAGTATGAGATGTCGTATCTGTGACCATGATAGGAGGTGTCAGGGTGGTCTTGTATGTTAGAGTTGTTGACTTAGATTATAAAAGAATCTAAAGGTTCTGGGTCCAAATCCCTACTAGGCACCAATTATACCCTTGGAAAAGGCACTTGACATATTTTCCCCCACTAAAGAGCACCTAGCTTTTGTTTGAGACATCTCTCAGATTGGACATAAAACAGGGGTCGCTTTGTGTGAAGAGAGCCACACCTTGAGCGTGTTTAAAAGCACCCACCATACTTATCGAAACAAGTAGTGGTCCTTCCTGGAATGCGTGAATGGATCAAATGTGACAGTCCTCTCTTAAGCTGCTTGTAACTACAAGTCAAAGCGGTTCAGTGGTTATGCTGAACAAACAGTGTAATGTTCAAGCAGGCATGAAGGAGGGCCTGCAAGGGGGGGGGGTCCCGACAACGCTCTACGCTGAATTCGGAAATCTCTCGATTACGCTTTACGATAAATTCCAAGTGGCTACAACGCATAACGTAGAATTAAAACGGCAAATACGCTCTACGCAAAAATATTAGAGCGGTCCGTCTACGCTCTACGTAGAATTAAAACGGCCGATTACACTCTACAGAAAAGAGCTTGCGGGCCCCCATGAAGCAGCTAACCTCTACCAGGCTCTGGGAAGTGGCTGGAAAGAGTAGAAATTGTTTAAATAGAAAGATAACACACCAGGAGAGTTGGTCTGCTAGAGAGTGAGTGGAAAAATGTTATCTATGGGGGCCCACAATTGCCCTTTTCCGTAGAGCGTGATCAGCCGTTTTAACTCTACGTAATGCGTTGCAGCCACTTGGAATTTATCGTAAAACATAATCGAGAGATTTCCTGAATTTAGCATAATACGTAGCCAGCTCTCAAAATTTACAGTAGAGCGTTGTCGTTGTCTATGGCCAATTTCTTCTCTTTCTAGCTGCTTCCCAGAGCCTGGTAGAGGCTATAATATAAAGCAGGCACAGCATTCATGAGAAATACTCTAGGTCACAGACCTACTTTCTCTGACCTCCCCATTGTACCAGGGGTTTCGGCTTTCTATTAAATATTTACACCCAACTCTCCAGTATAAACATTTTACTATTCGGTAAATTTCAATTGGCTGGGGGATGGGATACAAAATGGTGGGAATATCTGCCTAAGGGCAAAATGTCTGCTTCAAATTTTGGCTTGAGATAACTTCATATAGCCTGGGTTCCAAACCCATAGCACACTGGACACAAAGTACTGGCTCACTGAGATACTTGTGTCTAGTGTGCTATGGGTTTGGAACCCAGGCTAAATTTCATACAATAGTGGGAAAAATATGCTGGATGTCCAAAAAGGTGTTCAAGTTGTAAGACAGTATACACTGATATCACACACATATAACTAAGCTGCCGACAAGGTTTTGTACCATCAGCTCACTTTCTATATCTAAATCTATTTCTATCTCTATTGCAAAAGGCCTAGGAAAAAATGGTGTTTCCTGTTTCCCAAACGACCCTAGAAAAACCTGCCGACCCTAGACTTTTTTGGGCGCTGGACACCTGCAACCTTTTCTACCTCCACGATCTGACACCTGATTGATAAAACGTTGTACAGGGAAACACAACATTTTTTTTCCTAGGCCTAATTGTAAAGGCACAACACTCAACACTACTGTTACACATGTAGCTAGATAAACAAAACATCTATTGACCTTCAAATTATTTGTATTCAAGTACCCTAGAGGTCCTGACTACCACCTGTGGAGCACCACTTTACCTAGTAATAATTACCTCTCCGGTGTGACTGCTATCATCTTTGTTACAGCCTAATCACCTATTAACGAAGTAATCAGACACCCTACAAATCATTCTGTCTCTCTCAAGGACCAAAAAATCAGCTGTCAGTGTTGTTTCCTCTTCTGATTTCTACAAGTCAAGTGTTTACTGATATACACAAGCCTAAATGGTAAAAGAATGTTAAATTTCCATGTTCAGAATTGACTACAGCCTGAGATCAAGCCATGTTTGGCTTCTGTGCCCCTTTTGGGGAAAGAACATTTACAGTAAGACTAGAGCCAACCAAAGCTGGATATCAGGCTAGAATAAAAAGAAGTAGCCTGGTTACCAAAACTATTTTAGCTCCTGAGTCCTACATCCTCTCTACAAATAGAGCTAGGAGAGTATGTAGAACTTGAGAGCTAAAATAGGTTTGGCAACCAGGCTAAGAAAGAAGCTCCCCCAAAAAAATATACATCCAGTTTCTCAGGTACACGTACACATGTAGGGCACAGGGGTGACTCTTTTTGGCAGCTATACCAGGGTACCAAACACTGACCTACATTGAACCATAGAGGATCTGTAGATAACAACAACTAGCACTATTTACTAGTACTCTCCAAGCAGAGGTTGGTGGGGAAGATTGTTACCTTTCTATAAATATAAGCCCCATTTTTTCTATCGCTACCCCCATGCCCACCAACCTCTTGAAGGTAACAATCTTCCCCACCAACCTCTGCTTGGAGAGTACCACTGACTACTCACTTCAGTGCCTCAGTCAGCTAACCTTTCAGTTGAGACACAGTCACACCAGGCATAAATTCAAACACTACCAACCCTGACACATCCAGTTTCTCATGTACACACAGGGAACAGGGTTGACTCATTTTGGCAGCCATACCAGCCAGGGTACCAAACACTGAACTACAATGCACCAAAGAAGATCTGTACTAGATTCAGCCACTAGCACTGCTTACTCTCTAAGCAGAGGTTGGTGGGGAAGATTGTTACCTTTTTATACATTGAGCCCCGTTTTTTATTCTGTCCATACCCCCACCACCCTCTTGAAAGGTAACAGTCTTCCCCACCAACCTCTGCTTGGAGAGTACTACATGTATACTAGTACTACTCACCTCAGTACCTTTCAGTTGAGACACACTCACACCAGGCATGAATTCAAACACTACTAACCCTGACACATCCAGTTTCTCATGTACATGTACACACAGGGAACAGGGTTGACTCTTTTTGGTAGCCATACCTGCCAGGGTACCAAACACTGAACTACAATCTACCATAGAAGATCTGTATCTATACTAGATAACAACTAGCACCACCTACTCTCCAAGCAGAGGTTGGTGGGCAAGACATCTGAATCTAAATAAATTATAAGCCCTGTTGTTTTCTGTCACTAGCCCTACCAACCTCTTGAAAGGTAACAATCTTCCCCGCCAACCTCTGCTTGGAGAGTACCACTGACTACTCACCTCAGTACCTCAGTCACCTAACCTTTCACACTTGCACCAGGCATGAATTCAAACACTACCAGCCCTGACAGACACACGTAAATGCCCTTGCCACTGACCTGTCTCCTTCCCACCAAACCAAGCACGCCTGCCCTGCCGACCTTATCTGTCACCATGGTAACAGTCACCTTGGTAACAGTCAGGGACGATTCCTGTCTACATAAAACATTAGACTGTTGATCCCTTTTTCAACATCGCTGGGTTCTGGAATTTTCTCCAGGCCCGCATATATTGAAATGGAGCAGGTACTACGGTAGTGTAGTGAGGCCAGGACAATACATTTCTGTGGTTCGCAGACATTCAATTGGTGTGGCCTGACGGTATAAAATGAACTAGAAATGCAACTGTAAGACACATGTATTGGACATGAAAATAAGAGTTGTATGACTGAGTACAAGAGCTATCTTCCATCCAAAATTAATGACCCTAGCATTATAAGATCATGATCAAAGTGTTAAACTGCAGTACCATAACAGGCTGCCAGGGATCCCAAAATCTAATCATTTCCAGGTCTCATCAAGACCTACCCACCTACCAAGTTCCATGACAATCCTTCATAGCTTCTTGAGTTATCGTGCTAAATCACATCCAAACAAACATGTCATGTACTCTGTTTCCTTGGAATCCCAGAAAACACTTTACACTTAGTCTAGTACTTTCCTAAGGGCACTATAGCTCTAACAAGTGTGCTGCGTTTCCAGTAAAGTGGCATGTCAACCGACAACATCCATGCCAACACGCACCTGTAAGCAAGCTTCACAATACACATCTATCTTTCAACACAGTAGGGGGTCCTATACACCGAAAAATCAAAGTGACAGTCACTTAATTTTTCGATGTATTCGCTGACCTTACATGACAGCGAAAGTAGTAATTACTAGTAATTACCATACTTGTTAGACACAGAAGCAAAAGGTTTCAGATATCAGGTTGGTCAAACTGACATGTCCTTTCTCTGCCCTACTTTGAAATGGAGCTTCTGTAAATACTTTAGGCCCTTCAAAGTGACAGTCACTTAATTTTTCGGTGTATTCACTGACCCTACATGACAGCCAAAGTAGTAATTACCATACTTGTCAGACACAGAGGCAGGTTTCTGATACAGGTCAGTCTAGATAACTGACATGTCTTTTCTCTGCCCTACTTTGAAATGGAGCTTCTGTAAATACGTTAGGCCCTTCAAAAGTACACAGACAGCTGTATACATGCATCAGAAGAGCTTCACTGGTGTCAGACTAGCGAAATACAGCTAAGCAAACTGTCACAAGCCTCTATGGAGATAGTCTTACTATGTGGATCACGTTTCCATGGCAACATGTGTGACTGACAGGTGGTGGACTGTGTAAGGTGAAAGGTCATCTGCTTTTTTTGCCTTCAGGACTAGTGTGTACAAGAAAGGGGTTACAAATGGCTTTTTGAAAAGGATAGTACATGTACTACAAAAACAACAGCTGAAGCAGAGGGTATATGCTTATTGATTTTGAAGGGAATTCATCATACACTTTTAAGCATCTTTGCTTTGTAGTTTGGTAAAGCCAGCTTGCAAAATGTTATCTAGAAGAGGGCCTGCAAGCCCTTTTTTGTAAGGCGTAATCAGGCCGTTTTAGACTTCGTAATTCGTAGGCAGCCTCCGCAAAAATCAACGTAATTCGTAATTGGACATTAGCCGCAAATCGTAAAGTCGTAATCAGCTCTGAGACTTTAACGTAAATCGTAATAGGTGGCGAAAATTTCGCGTAATTCGTAATCACTACCCCCCCCCCCTTTGCAGGCTCTCTATAAGGAAAGACCAACAAATGCAGAAATTGTAGATATGGATCTTTTCACATAGGTATCATATTACAATGTACATGAACATGTATAAATGTCAAACAAGTGTTCTTGAGCTAGAGATGATACTTTCTCATGATTACCTTAAAATGTTAAATTGGAAACTCAATTATCCAAGCCAGGAAAACACAGGAAAAGTTGTCTTTTTTGTATGCTTGACATATTTTCTTTTTAAATACTGTGTACGAAAGCAATGACTGCAAATACATGTACATGTATCTGAAATTTTCGGTTTTATTTTTTTCAGTTTTGGAAGCACAGACATGGTTAGGTGCAGGCAGACATCAGAAATACCTGCACAGCTTCAATTTTACCTGCAATAACCTGCATATACCCAGTACATGGACCAGTGCAGGTTAGGTGCAGCTAGACATCAGAAATACCTGCACAGTTTCAATTTTACCTGCAATAACCTACACATACAGGTGGTATTTCCAGCCCAGATTTAGTACAGCTATATCTAGTACAGGTGTATCAATATGTAGTACAGGTGTATCTAGTACAGGTGTATCCAGTACAGGTGTGAATTGTGAACCCTCACTACTGAAGCCCCACATGTGGCCCAAATGTAAGACTACATACATGTAATCCCCCGTATTTGTAAAACAAAACCAGCAACACCAGTACAACAGCCTTGGCTGATGGTCTAATCATAACCTGCACACTGCAGCATTGTCTGGGGGTGTTTAGTGTTTATGGTACAACAGGCTGCCCCGCCTGCCTTCTTTCTTCTTTGGCAGTTCAGTCTTGTAGTACTGTGAACTATCTTCGCTCCTCTGGTGACTTCTTATGTGGCTTGATACCTTACTGTTTTGCCATTAGGTTGTGTGTACATTCAAACAAATTCGCAGGATCTTTCTTGTATCCTAAACACCTTTTAACCACAGGCAACGTATGATGTAATTACATGTACAAAACGAAATACTATAGGTCATAGGAGAAAATACACTTCGGTGTTGTGGAACAGGTACAAAACATGCGTGCAGGTCAACACTAAATGGAGCAAAATTTTGATCTCCAAGCTGATATTTCTGTGGCTGCAACATACAACTCAAATTGACAACACAGTATTGAATTGGCCAGGCAGTACCCAATGTTTTAAAAACAGTGTAAAAGAGAATTAGACTTAAAAATGTCTAAAAACATGTCAAAGTCTAAACCTAGATGCTTGGAGGGTAAGCAAATTCAACTGTTTCATTTTTAAGCCCCAAAAATGCTTATGATGTTGCTTTTGAGTAAAATGAGCAGTAAATACAGGGTAGAGCTTGCAAATGTGTTTTGTAGTACTGAAGACCAAAACACCTCAGCCATAACACACAAAACGGAATTAAAAACAGGAGGGACAAAAAGCTTGGCAAATATTTTGTTTTGTACATAATACATTGTCTGTGGTCAAAAGAGTATTTTGGACACAAGAAAGATCCTGCGAATTTGTTTGAACATACACACAACCTAATAGCAAAACAGTAAGGTATCAATGTTGCCATAAGCTAGTGGATTTCCGGGTTGTACGCTTAAAATGCGTATCCGATACGAAAAGTCAACAACTTAAAACGGCTTCCTGAATTTCTAGTAGAATTTCGCTGACGAAATGGTAACAGCTGTGAAATGGGGCCTTTTCCCCATTTAATCAATTATAACCGCCTTAATTTTTAACGATTTTAGATCATTTAGGCTTAATACAGGCTACGTAACTCCAGTAGTGTGCGTGTATAACTAGTATAAGTGACAAATAAATGAGCATTTAATCAGCTTAAACTTTCACTCTTAAATGTGTACACCACAGGCTCAAACCTACCTTGTTTGAGAATGCTAGGTCTCTCTCGATCCACTCGAAGCCAAGTGCATCACGGTTTTGTGAAGAGCTTTCTAAAAAGCGCAGAGCTCCGCTACAATTATGTCGCAGAACTTGATACTGCTACAGTTGTGGCAAAACAAGGGGACAAACTTCTCACCTTTCAAACCGTTCCAGAACGAAATCTCGCCGGGGAATTTCTGGTCAAAAACGCAGGAAAGTGACACGCAGAAGCCATACAAGGCTGACCTGTTGTCATATAAGTGTCAACAAAACCGTCGCCAACTCGGTAATCAAGTAATTAAGCGTAATTATCGCTCTTTTCAACGATCAAATTAAAAATTCAACAGCGGTCGGACGCCATTTTGCTGTCTGCAGTTGAATTCTCGCGGGACTAGGGACAAACCACTGGATAGGAGGGGTGGGACGAGCGAAAAAAAATCCACCTACGTAAGGCCATGTTGATTTAGTTATATGGTTCACATCGCATGGGAACCTCAAAACTGATGCGAGCGTGCGAATAAAAAATTGCCTTCTACGTAGTCATGAAGGTTGAACAAATGAATAAACACACAGAGAGCATGGTATGGTGAATAATAGGCTCTTCATTTCTTCACATTTTCTTTTCCTTTGGAAATTTTCACACAAATCACGATTTTTCTACCTTTTGCGACTATGTTGCTCTTGTCATCAAGGCACATTGTAGCGATTCTACAGCAAGTGCTAGTTAAGTCACGAAATTTGGTGCTTAAATGAAATTACTTTGTTTAAAGATTCTGAGTCAAAGTCCTCCTTTTTATTACATTAAGTAAGATTTTCGTCTGGATTCATCATACAATGACGTTTACAGAAATATTCCAGTAGACCAAGAAGCACAAACATTTCACATTCGCTTGTTTGTTAGTTGGTACCTTCGTTACATCAATATATAACGACTACACAGTGTTGGCTTCCTGCGGTACCACCCGTGGGATATAGGTGGCGCTGTTGTCGCCGGTGTGCGCGCGGATCCAGTCGACCATGGCGGGAACCCGGGTGTAGACGGCCGGAGTTCGCGGCTGCGCACAACCCTCCCCGTAGCTGGTGATGCCGTAGACGAACCAGTGCCCGTCACGTGACTCGCACATCAGCGGGCCTCCAGAATCGCCCTGTGGAAAATATCAACGTCAAGGTCACCTTCAAACTGGTTGTTGGGAGGAAATAGCGCAACACGTCTGAGCTTTTTTTAATATCCCTCTCTGGAACTCCTGTACAAAATTTGGTCATGACCGTAAGAGATTTTAACCCACCAACATGGCCGACGCTAAACACGTCATAATCACGTGAGTGCAAAGTTACATTACTGATCTACAGGTGCCCTAACCCACCAACATGGCGGACCCGAATCACGTCATAGTCACATGAGCGCAAACTCACAATAATGACCTATGGGTGTACTAACCCACCAACATGGCGGACGCTAAAAACACGTCATAGTCACGTGAGTGCAAACTTACAATACTGACCTGGCAGTTGTCCTAATCCACCAACATGGCGGACGCTTTACACATCATAATCACGTGAGTGCAAACGCCCAACACTGACCTGGCAGGTGCCCAAACCCACCAACATGGCGGACGCGGACGTCATAGTCACGTGAGTGCAAACGACCAATACTGACCTGGCAGGCGTCCACTCCGCCCTCCGTGTATCCTGCGCACACCTGGGAGGTCCAGTCCACCTCATAACCCGGAAGTTGATGTCTACATGTCCAGGAGGACACGATGGGTACTTCCGCCTCCAGAAGCACGTCCGATAGCAGGGCCAATACGTCATAATCTGAAAAAAAGAAAGACCCGCAAGCCGTTGGATATTTTCAGATTTTTGGCATGTCGTCGATGGAACAAATTATCTTATATGAGAAGAGTAATCATTTTTTTCATAGCGATGGCATCCCACCGCTGCCACCATTATTATGGTTTTTCTGAAGGCTGAGGCCGTCGGGCGATCCGACCCGCGGTCGGGCCGATACCTCGGGCGATACGGAATACCCCATGTTGCATTTTATTTATGTCATACCCACCCAAGAAAACGGTTGTGCAAGGTGTAAGAGTGTGGTCTGCACGCCGCGTCTGGCCGTGAGCGGTTGCGTGCATCGTACGCTGCGCAAGTGGTAAGTGAGTTGTACGTGCTTACAACGTACGATCTCTGTGCGATTGCAACTTTACCGTACGGAGGTCGTACTCACACGTGCTTCTTCCGTACGGCACGTACGGGGCACGCGCGTCGCCCGTACTCGCACGCACGGGTGGTGAATCCGCAGACCGCACGTAGAAAAAGTTTTACATACACTTAAAGTTCTACGGCGTGTCTGCGTGCTCCCAAATCCGTAGGATTCCGTACGGAGGCGGCACTCACCACGCAGAAGCACGTACGACGGGTTGTGACCGAGGCTTAAGACTGACCTGTCTCCGGATCCTGCGTGTCCCCCCAGCCTGTGACGACGCAGGTCGATCCGGACCCGACGCTGACGCCAGCCTCCGGCAGACACGCGGGCGACACGCGCTGATTCAGCCGGGCCGGCTCGGCCAGACGCAGCAGGGCGATGTCGTTCTTTTTTCTGTCTTGGTCGAACTCTTCGTGAAGAATGACTTCAGCTATTTCAAGCCTCTATGAGTATGAGAGAATGTGAATGATTAAGTTGATTTATCAGTTGTCAGTGTTGTTTACTCTTCTGATTTCTACAAGACAAGTGTTCATTAATAAACACAATCCTAAATGGTAAAAGAAGGTACAATTTCCATGCTCAGAATTGACTATAGCCTGAGATTGAGTCATGTTTGGCTTGTGCCCCTTTTAGGGAAAGTACATTTACAGTAAGACTGGCTTGGTCAAAATCTTCGTGAAGGATGACTTCAGCTATTTCAAGCCTCTATGAGAGAATGTGAAGTAAATCTTGGATTAAATTGATTTGGCGATGTCATTCTTTTTTCTCTCTTGGTCGAAATCTTCGTGAAGGATGACCTCAGCTATTTCCAGCCTCTATGAGAGAATGTGAAGTAAGTGTTGGATTAAATCGATTTATGGCTTGGTCGAAATCTTCGTGAAGGATGACTTCAGCTAGTTCAAGCCTCTATGAGAGAATGTGAAGTAAGTGTTGGATTAAATTGTAGACTGGAACTCGTTGCCAGCAAGCACAGTTGGGGCATCATCACTAGAAAGCTTTAAACAACTCCTGCAATTAGATGTACAAAGATTGAGTGTAACAAATCGTCCGGTGTGATATAGCTAGCTGCCGCCGCGCCGCGTGACGCCGAAGGGCGGTTATATCGGCTATACCGATACCGATACAAATACAGAAATTGATTTATTTGCATGTAGGTAGTAAAAGGAGGCACTCTGGAAGGCGGGCGCCGTCCAGGACGACAGAGAAAGTCCTGCCAGGACAACATTGCGGAGTGGACACAGCAGACTGTGAGGTCTGGAGACAGCTGACCATTGCGCCTCTGCGTTGTCCCCCCCAACGACCAGGAGGAAAAGGGACAAGGTAGGTAGCAAAAGCAATTCACAAAACGGTAGAACAACAAAGGGAAGAGAGGAAACATCTTATGGGACCCAAGTTTCATCGAAAAAAATTGGTCTGGAAACTAGACATCGAAAGACCTCAAAAAGATCATCCTAAACTGAAAATAAAAGGTGGGAAACACGATTGGCTTGCTTACCTGTTCGTGGGCTTCTTCCGTTTTGATGGAGTGTTTTCCCAGCACCACATCATAAACCGCGGGGTCAGGATTTCTGCGGAAAAAAAGGTGATGCGTTTTAAAATTAGTCGCTATTTCGCCAGTTACAATTTCGGTGCCGAAATGGTGACTGTCCTTGGTGCTGAAATGGTAATTGTCCGGCAAATGGAAACAGCCTGGCCAACTTGATACTGTCTTTGCGGCCGACGAGACCTGCTTAGAGATTGATTCTGTATCTGTATAGCCTGGTACAACCGCCCTTCGGCGTAACATACCAGCTTCGCAGGCACGCGGCGCGGCGGCAGCTGGTTACATTACACCGGACGACTTGTTACACCTAACTTTTGAACATCTAGCTGTAAACACTATTTAAAGCTATCTGATGATAATGCCCCTACTGCACTTGGTGACAGCAAGGACATTAAGTTCCACTCTGCGATAGTTCATTATACCAAGGTTCTGGGAAAGAATGAGTTTTTGAAAACCTCAATCCTTGGTTGATAACTCTAATTCTCGGCTATGTGTGGCAGAAAAAACCGGTGCAATAGCTCAATTGGTAGAGTGCTTGCTTTGTAACCGAGAGGTCGTGAGTTCAAACCCCGGCCGGGTCATACCAAAGACTTTAAAAATGGTACACACTTCTTTCTCTGCTTAGCAATCAGCACATATGAGAAAGAGTGTGGGAAGGTCAAACACACAGCACTACCAGCGGACTAGCCCCCTGCTGTAGTGCCCTGCACAACTGTGTGTCGCCCAAGGGCTACGGAAATGGACATGGGCACCAAAACCCTATGCTGTGCATGGAGCACGGGTAGACTTTTTGTGGCAGGAGCTTTACCTGAAGAAGCAGTGAGCAGCAGACAGGATCCAGCGGTCGGAGATGAGGGTCCCTCCGCAGAGGTGGCTGTTCCCAAACATTAACAGCTGAATGCTGACCATCCATGGCCAGCTGCCAGGCACAGCCTCGTGCCCTCCCACGATCCTCGGCCGGGCGGGCTGCGTCGCGCGGCTCAGGACAGACCGCAGAACAGGCGTGCCGCACGTCGGGGCTTCTGTAGATTAGACCACACCGACTTAATGAATTATTGACTACCTTTTTTGCACATTTTTGCCGCGCAGAGCTAAGTACAGGTCACAGCAAAACACGATGAACGAATACAGTTAACACATACAAAATAAAGCTAACTATCATAATATAAACTCAACTTCTCGCTTTTTAGTTGTGGTTGAAATAAAAGAACGAATGTGTTGGATGACATCCTCCGGAGACCCGTAAACTAATGCGAGATGGCGAAGAAATAAACCTTGCTCCCAAAATATGGAGGTTTTATCGGGCTTCTTTTACTGGTAACTGTATTGCAAATGGATACTACCTGGCAAATGGATACCGTCTGGCAAATGGATACCGTCTGGCAAATGGATACTGTCTGGCAAATGGATACTGTCTGGCAAATAGTAACTGTCTGGCAAACGATAACTGCCTAGCAAAATAGATACTACCTGGCAAACATGTTAACTGGCAAACGGATACTGGCTGGCAAATGGATACTGTCTTTGCGGTCCCAAAGGATATACTTGGAGACTAGTCGTGGGAAGATCCTGGATGTGTGACAGGAACTTTACACTAACCTTGTTGTCCGCACGGCGTGTGGATCGCCCAGGGCCAGTTGCAGATGTTGTACCTGGTGTCGAAGCGGAGTCCCCAGGGGCAGGTCTTGTGGCACGCCGGGCGGCCGTGCACGCACATGAAGAACGCCGAGCAGTCATGTGGGTCGCGGTGGAACCCCGGCCCGGCAGACTGGCAGTCAAACGCTCCTGAACAGGACAGGGAGAAAGGGAATCAATCAATCAATCAATTCATCGATCGATCAATCAGTTGAAGTAAGCCGGGTCACGGTGGAACCCCAGCCCGGCAGACTGACAGTCAAACGTTGCTGAGCAGGACAGAGAGAAAGGGAATCAATCAATCAATCAACCAATCAACCAATCAACCAATCAACCAATCAACCAATCAACCAATCAACCAATCAATCTATCAATCAATCTATCAATCTATCAATCTATCAATGAGTCGAAGTTAGCCGGGTCACGGTGGAACCCCAGTCCTGCAGACTGGCAGTCAAACGCTCCTGAACAGGGCAGAGAGAAAGGAAAGGTGAAAATACTTCTCAAAGAGCAAAGGAAAAAGAAATTTATCCTTTTAGACAATATGAAAATACCGATTTGTTAACATCATCATGATAATTTGATATATGATAATTTGACTATACACACACACACGCGCGCACACACAAGTCTACGTTGTATGTACGTTTGTACTTGTTTCCATGGAATATAATATTCAGTTCGTGTTCCCAATATATTTGGATTTTAGAAGGGTTGAGATACATACAATCTTATTCATTTTACGTGTCTTCAGCCAAGAGTGATTTGATGTGAAGTGAAGTTTGGACCTGTACCTGTACATTCGCTGCTGTCCTCACTGCTGCTCTCATGTGACTGCATCAGATGGTACAGTTCACTCAGGAACCGCGGAGGGGCGCCACTTACTTCCTGTGTTATCGCTGCAAAAGGAATTTTTTGGGATGGTAGGTAGCTCTTGTTCTGATATGTTGCAGGGCACGTTGTTACGCCGATTTGAAAGAATGTGAAGAATTGATAAGAGGCGGACAAACTCGCACGGTATAATGGCTAAGCACACACGGTGCCGCCACTTTCTTGTTCTAATCTTTAGTTCCGTCTGCCATTGAGTTTGTACCTGTTTACTTGGAAACGAGGAAACAGTCTTAGTCACGACAGACATGGCAGTTACCTTAGTACATAGCCTGGTTACCAGTCTCCACAGGCCTAATGAATCAATGGTGAACTATTTGAAACCAACCCTATTAAAAAACCAATGTGCGCTATAGCGGACCTGGGAGGGTGGGCAGTACCCCCATCACCGTAGAGATACCGACCGAGAAGCCTACGATGGTCTGGCTGTCAGGCTACAGTGTCCTACAGTACTCAGCGCCGTAGAGATACCGAGAGGCCTACGACGGTCTGGGTGCCAAGCTAAGTAGTACACGGAATAGAAAAGTGTCCAGTGTCTGACTTAGCATACTCCTTAACGGCCTTTTTTTCAGTCAAAAGAAACCACTGCCTAACATTTGACATTAGCCTGGGTGCCAGGCTGTTGTCAGAGGTAGCACAAGCCAGCTTCTCGGCTCCGAAAATGTTACCATAGACATCCTTCTCAGACAGACTCTGAGCCCAGCTAGAGGGATACATTACACCCCAGTTGCACTATTCTGGGATCGTGGCTAGTGGCTTCCCCCAGCCGAAGAGAGTATTGTTAGCCTCTATCAAACTTCGGGAGGCGACTGGAAGAGAAGAAATTGGCGAAATACAAAGTACAATTTGCCACACTGTACTCTCTAGCGCACTAACTCCCCTGGCTTGTTACTTCTATATTTGGCCAATTTCTACTCTTTCCAGTCGCCTCCCGAAGCCTGGTAGAGGCTAGAATTTTGTGTCGAGCCGTGGTCTGACATTCAGGCTAAGGCCACACCAAGTAAATTTTATGGATGACGTCCTTTGGAGACCCTAAATCTAATGCGAGAGGGCGAAAAAAAACAAGAAGGGCCCTAAAAAACAAGATGCCTAGATAAGGCCACACCAAGTAAATTTTATGGATGACGTCCGCGCGCGCATTGATTTTGGCCTGTTCCTAGAAAAAAACCCAAGAAATTCCGCTTCCTGTAACTACAAAATGTATGACCAAAGTGTCACGACAGTGCCGCAAATTGTTACATTGGCGTGAAACCCGCAACTAGCAGGCCTGCAAAAATGTGATGAAAGAAACAGGACAGGACGACAACTGCTGTTCCACCTGATTTATTGCTGTTTTGAGGATGAATAAAAGACTTCTTGCTTGTTACACTGTGTCACCTCATTCAATTTGTGTCCTAACATTTGTCGTCTCTTAGTATATTTCTAATCTAGGCATCTTGTTTTTTAGGGCCCTTCTTGTTTTTTTTTTCGCCCTCTCGCATTAGATTTAGGTTCTCCAAAGGACGTCATCCATAAAATTTACTTGGTGTGGCCTAAGAAATATTGCACTGCTGACAGGACCGTCCTGTCTGTTAATAGTTCCAAAAACGGCACTGTTTTGGAGCTATTGACAGGATTTTTTTCAGTGCCATTTTTTTTTTTTTCATTTTTGTTTCCATTTTTTAACCAGGCACAGGCTTTCGGCGTTACGGGTTTCACATCAATCTGACAATTTTCGGCACTGTCGTGACTCTTTGGTCATATTTACAGGAAGCGGAATTTCTTGTTTTTTTTTCTAGGAACAGGCCAAAATCAATGCGCGCGCGGATGTCATCCATAAAATTTACTTGGTGTGGCCTAATTCGACATTGACGGATAGACCAAGTTACGCGTGTAATGAAGAAGGTCGAGGCCGTATCCTATCCGTCGTCACAACTCTGAGTCAGTGTGCAAAGTTTCAACTCTATCGCCAGCCACTGCCCTAACAAACAAGGCATTAGGTAGAATCTTATGTAACTAATTTCCCGACATGGTCAAGCCCTAGTGTTTGAGTTGTGCCGAAGAACAATTAGAAACTGGTCAACAGAGAAAAACATATTCGAGGCCGTTCTGACAACATAAGGTTAAAGCCCTAGACTCCAGACTTTGGGAAATTTGTATCTAACATTGCAAGAGTTTAGTTAGCCTGAGAACGGAGGCTGCCAAGAGAGAATACACAATGGTGTGTACTTGAGGCAATAATTACTATAGTACAAATATTTTAGTGCGTACACTACGCCTAAGTTTGGTCCTTTCTGATAGTGCTAGACTTTATAAAAAAAAAGGCACATAAGATGTATCTCAAATGGCCTACTTATTGATGTAAATACACAAGACAATAAAACAATTTTGGTACGTGTAGGTTTTCATAGTACTGATAGTGGCCCTCTCATGGCGTAGCAGTGATAGTTTTGGAAGCATATGTTGTCATACTTCGACGTTGCAGTCCAGAAAATCTCAAGCTTGATAATGGTGTTCTTTGATAAGCATACACAGAAGATAGTGCGTTATGTGGTTGCATTTTGGTCCTTATCAAAATGGTGTAAATTGTTTCAATCGTAGCTTTACAAATGCTGTGCTCCTACATCTATAACTGCGTCAAGAAGCGAGAAGAAGTCGAACAATGTAAATAGTAGATCACATTAGTATGTTTAGTCTAAGTATCATTGCCGTATCCTTTTTCCTTGTCTATTCATGACCAGTACTTAGCTTGTTAGAGCACAAACGTACAATAAAGGTCTTTCATTCTCTATAATGTAAAAGATCTGCAGTATTCTACAGAAAACAGATGGCTTACCTTTCGCGTGTCCCCCTGTGCATGTTAGCAGAAACACAGCAATCACTAGCAAAATCCACATGGCATTTTTCTCCATCGAGGTTCGCCTGCATAGAAGATATTTATCCTACTGATCTACAACAGTATTCAGTGGCTACAACGGTAGGTTTGAGACAAAAGGAATTAGGAAAAAAACAGCTAAGTCTAGCAGCAGCACAACACGTCAGTTCTGACGCTATCCTGGCAATGATCTGGTATTAAAACCTTTAAACGTCCCCCCCGAGACCCAGTTACTAGTCTCACCTTAGCAGGACCGGTATGTCTATCGTGGGGCATGTTGACTTTCTTCCGCACGGTCAACAAGACACTTAACCGGATTAGATTAGATGGTCATAGAAACCTCGTCCATCACGGCGCGCGTGCCATGGTTGTCTGTACTGTGGGCACTTTCCTGACGTCTTATATTGAGGTTTATTGAGGGAAAACTCTCCTTTAGCTGCCCACCCGAAGGTGGCAGCTATTCTTCCAGGAGAGGGAACATACATGTAAGACATAACAATACATCACGTACAATTACATATACATCTACATTTACATTACATAGTATTTTAAAGAAAACAAGTGTGTAACATCGTATGTGCTCTACTTATTCATGTCCCTCATGTGCTTTAGTAGGCCTTGTTTGAACTTCTCATGTGATGCCACTGTTTGCAGCCCATGTGGTAGTTGACGGAAAGCAGACGGACGGGTTCTGGTCGGAAGTCTTCATCTCCAAGCAGATTCTGTGGGTCGTATGGCGTAGCGGCAGAGTGCGCGACTCGGAACCTAGAGGTCCCGGGTTCGAGTCCTGACATGCCACCGATCTTGTGCCCTTAGGAAAGGCACTTTACACGATTTTCCTCACTTCGCTCAGGTGAAAATGAGTATTGTCCTGTCATGTATTTGTCCCCTGTGTTGGTGGCGGCATTAATATAAGTTGATAAAGCTTGAGTGTGCCGTCACCACGTCTGGTGATTACATGTTGGAATAAAAAAAAAAGATTCTGTGGGAAAGGGGAGTCTACATCGGTCGCATGTATTCAGCCAATGGTTAAAGGAGGCTAATGGATACAGGTGGCAAATATAGACTCTCCTTGCCCCACAGAATCTGCTTGGAGATTAAGAATTTTAAAGTGTGAACTGTTCGCTCGTTAACCGACTTCGTGGACTGCCCCAACACATGTGGCCACATGTGCCTAATGCATTCATATTAGCCTGGATGCCAGACAAATATCACGCTAAGTCCTGCGTTGATGGTCATGGCCTATTTCTGTGGGGGATGTGGTAAAATTTCCTTGGGGGCATGTTGGCCCTGGAGCCGAGGAACTGGCCTGTCTAGGCCCTGGAAATAGTCTGGCACCCAGGATAACTGAGGAGGGCTGTGGGACAATTTTCTTGGGAGCATGTTGGCCAAAGAACTGGTCTGTGTAGGCCCTGGAAACAGTCTGGTATCCAGGCTAGTATGTCGGCCCTGGAGCCGAAGAACTGGCCTGTGTAGGCCCTGGAAATACTAGTAGTCTAGCACCCAGGATAACTGAGGGGGCTGTGTACAATGTTCTTGGGGGGGGGGGCTAGAGCCGAAGAGCTGGCCTGTGTAGGCCCTGGAAACAGTCTGGCACCCAGATTAGCCTTGCAATGGGCAAATCTGCGAATCTACTGGTAGGATCCCGATCGGATTCTGTGTAGACAGAAACTATGATCTGGATCTCTACTGGCAGAATCCGCGATTTTACAGACAGAAAAACTCTCTTTCTCGATAGTTACAATGACAAAATCGTGTAATCTTCGAAGGTCTCTATGGTTTGCAACATTCCAATCTGACACAAACTGACGACACATTACTACATTGCCACAGTTGTTGCATTCTTGAGTAGATGGACGAAAGTGCTGGGTTCGGTTCTTAAAGGCTGCTAAAGTGCCAACATTTGGAGGCTAGATTTTAAACATCACAGACCACTTCCTCGTGCAATGATAAAGATATAATTCAGCCAGCAATTAAAGGAATATCTCTGTTTAAACGAAGACATTTTTAGCTTTTTGTTTAGACGGTATGTTTGTCAAAAGGGCGTACAACAACTAAAAATCAGTTTGCCACAAATACAGATTCCGTATATACAACACACGACTGTGTAAACACTGTATCCACTATCGCCCATATGTGTGTGTTTTCCGTTAACACCCAGTTGTTGGTTTTGTGGTACATCGCATGATTTCCTAAATTTTTTCATATCTTATCTCATATCTTATATATCTCCGTCTACAAATACCATCTGGTGCTATTGACGTCATGGATTCCTAAAGTTATACCTGAGTTTCGTTGCTGATGATCAGTAAATAGACACAGCGATGTCAGGGGCTGATGTAGGGAGGATATTTGTGTTGGTTGTGGTTGAGAGGAAGGTATTTTTGTAAATCAACAATACGAGAAATACGTTGGTCGAATTTCTCACAGTCAGTGTAGATACGCTAAAGGCATCCAAAGCAATGTCAGGGCGGCAAAATGAAAAAAAAAAAATTCTGGATGAGGAAATCTGTCTGATATCGACATTTACTGCCATATCTTAGTACATTTTCATCATCACTTCATTCTTGAAGCGTTTGAAATAGCCCCAAACCAAGCTCTTCATCTTTTGGGCACCACCCACAAATACTAGTTGCTAGAACCGGCTACGATACAAAACATACAACCGCATTGCGACAGTATGTTACATTCCACAGTTGGGGTTGGTAGCAACAGGTGCAGGTTGTATATTATGATGTTGTCTGTCAAATTAGGATTTTTTGTTTGGGTTTGTTGTATCAAACAGTGATATTTGAGCCCCATGTTACCCAGATACGTACACATGTGGAAACAGACGGTATATACACACCCTGTTTGCGTGGGAGGGGCGTTCTCAAATAGAACAGCAACAAACTGTTTTATAGAGAATGTGTCAAACAACAAACAAACAAATGATCATGTTGTTATATTGAAAGTGGGGTGTCTTTTTCTTTGGTTGTATTGGACTTTCCATTGCATTCCTCGTGTTTAGATTGGTTGTACATTTGTTTGAAAGCAACTTTTTATGTATTGTATCTATACATTTTAAAATGTATTTTTCTAACTTCTTAAATAATGCATTAGTTGCTCAGTTGTTTTTTTAAACTTTGAACATTGCCAAAAATGACCAAGGATCCAGCCCAAAACAACAATTGGGCACTATTTAATAGATTGTGCCCTAAGTACGCTCTACCCAGTTAAAAACGTACTCGGTTGTTTTGTAGACGTAAAATTCATATGTTTTATTTTGACACGGCAAGTACAAATAAACACTTTATCAAAAACACCACGAGTAACAAAATTGTGAAAAAAAAGAACAACGTCCAAATTATACAAAGAAATGTGTGGTAAGGAATAAATTAAGCAAAAGGCTACCTGAACAACATCCTAAAATATCATATTTGAAAACAAAAAATGGGACAAGTCCTTTGGTGTAGTATCATGTAGAGTTCTGTTCAAAGTTTTCTGAAAGGCCTACAGTCTTCGACCTTTTGTACATACATGTTATAATCACCTGTAAATGTGAATGTGCCATCAATTGCTTTACGTGTACGTAAACAAAGAGAAAAACATCCAGAACATAAAACTAACCTAAATGTCCAACAAAGAATAAGTGAATACTGTTAGTGATCACCAGATAGATGATGATAGTCTACTTTTGGGTGATGTTTCTAAGCATCCATTGTACATGTGGTTCCGTATGGTACCGTCAAATGGATTTGTCTCGGTCAAATTATATTTTCTTCACATTGACATCTTTACGAATAAGACTTGAGTACTATTGAATGCTACTTCAGGTAATACTGGTTTCTTAACGGTTATGATGTCAACACCTAGGTTTATTCTGTGGTACTATGACAAGACAAAACTCTGCACTAATGTGCCTTGGTATGCCCCTGGGAAAGAATGACAATTATTGGTGTCCCGTCTATCGAATACCTGACCGACACATTGAGGCAGTCTTCTGGCAATGGCAGAACGTGTCATGGACAAACGTCCCGGCCAATTGTCGTTATAAAACCACCTGGTCTTTGAATTGACCAATGGGAGTGTCTGCATCTCTTGACGTGTCACACGTACGAACCAATGGCGGCCCATTCCTTGTCGGTCACGTGTTCCCGTATCCAGGAGACGAAGGCAGACACCCTGCTGTAGACGCCAGGCTTGGCGGGCTGTGCGCATGTGCCTTTGTCGCCGAAACTGGTGATGCCTTGGATGGTCATTCTGCCACTACCGTCGTTACAAGCCAGGGGGCCACCACTGTCACCCTGAGAACGCAAAAAAAGGCAAAAAAGGCAATATAAGTCGCTATCAATGAATAGAAAAGAGAAAAATCTGAATCTGTTAATAATTGTACTTTCATAGATTTAACATTTTCCTGGGCTTAAACAGTGTCAAACTGTTTAAAACCTAGCCTGGATGCCAGCCATATTAGCTAAGCTAGAAGTAACTTGAAAGCTTTCATGTGTTCATAGCTTCGAAAACTAAGGCGGCTGTGTAGCATCAATGCTATCTAAACGCAACACAATGATTGGAATGAGAGACCCAACTTGTCAAACAGGGATACTTCACAACATTGTAATTACATGTTCTGCATCTGTAATAATACATGTACTTTCTGTGATGGTGTGGATGTAATATGTAATACATGTACTTTCTGGGATTGTCTGGAATCCGTACTATTCAAAAGTACGCTTTGGAAAGACAACGTCGAACAAAAACTCACCACACATGTGTCGATGCCGCCCTCCTCGTACCCAGCACACATCTGTTCTGGGTAGATCTCGTAGTCGGGAAGTTTCGTGCTGCATTTCTCGTTAGACACCACAGGAATCTCTATCTCCTGAAGAGTGGGGGACTGCAGTTCACCGGTTTGCATTTCTGCAAGGGAGACAAAGGGCTATTGTAAATAGATAGATCGGTACTAAACATTGGAAAGAAACAGAAGTACGCGCGCGCGCGCACACACACACACACACACTCACAGGCACACATCCACACACACACACACACACACACACACACACACACACACACACACACACACACACACACACACACACACACACACTCACAGGCACACATCCACACACACACAATGCATAACTCGAATTATCCATTCAGTACACTTTTATTAGACGCTATTTAATGTTTTTTTCTGCATGCGTTGAGTGAAAATGTAGATCTTGTTGATACGAAATATGTAACATCATTGCACAACAATTGTACAGGGTACAAAGTATGGCATCTACGGCTACATATTTATTATTAGTAACTACAATTTCATATTCGTACATATCTACAGTGTCACATTACCTCCATAAGCCAGTGGTTTTGTATAGCCCCAGCCGACAGAAGTGCAGAGCGCGTTCTGCTCAACTTTCTCTCCTTCCTCCGGCAGGCAGATGGGCGACACATAGTCGTTCATCTTAGCGGGTTGTGACAGTCGGACCAGGGCGATATCGTTCGTGAGAACGTCGTACGAGAAGTCTTCGTGAACCATGATGTCCTGAACTGTGATGTTCTGTTCGCGTCCCTCGTCTTCGTACAAGTTGTGCTCGGCGAGATGAGCCACCCAGCCGACCTGAGGTTTGACGTTCAGACTGGGGAGGGAGAAAAGTCGATGATTGTTAAAAAGAAGTCTGACAACTGACAACTGGGCGGCACAAGGCCACCGGCTTTGCGTTTGCATTTGCTTCAGGGCTTAGGTTCTGCCCTGTCTAGCGCTCCTTGCCACCCAACCAGCTACACCCATTTTATTTTGGCCCCCGACCAGCTTGTTTAAAAATTATTTCATGTTACGTTAGGGCTGACGCACGGTAAACGCCATTGCTAGAAATCATCTTTGTGATTGCCATAGATTGATGTTCTAAGTAAAGGGATAAGCAGCACATTGAGAATATGAAATACACAGACGATGGCATGAAGAACACTTCAATGAAGTCGGTGGAAACGCGTACATGATACGTGTACTTACGGTCTGAAGCAGTGAGCTGCGGTGACCACCAGGTTAGGAGCGATGAGAGATCCGCCGCACAGGTTAAACTTGGGCAGGGGGTACAGCGGGTGTTGGAAGGAGACCACCCACGGCTGGCTACCCGGAACAACCTCGTGGCCGCCCACGATCCGGTTCTTAGTAGCCCCCCTAGACCGGATAGCCGGCTTGCCGCAACGGATGGCTGGAAAATACCACGGACAGGACCGTTATGACAATATATTCACCTGAATATTCACCTGAATCCAGGCCATTAGGTACCCTTACTGGGTAATGAGGCCGTCTTCGTGGTGTAGACAGTTTGGGCAATTCAGTAGGAGAAGACGTATCCGTATCTATCAGGGTGGTCCTTCCACTCTATAGCCAACTTGTTCTTGAATACTGCATATATGAGCTGCATTTGGGCATATAGCTTTTTTTCTATCTTCAATATAACTGCTTAACCGGATCAAGGTGTAGCACGCTGGTACATAGGCAACTACAAGCTCATGAAGTTCTCACTTTTATACATTTCCAGTGCATATCACACAGTTAAAACAGGATAGCCGGGGTGCCACAACGGATGGCTAGAAAATACCACGGACAGGACCGTTAGGAGCTGTATTTCGGCATATAGGATGGCCGTGGACTACCAAGGACAGGGCCGTTATAATCTACATTTGAGCATATAGGAGGGCTGTGGATTTCCACGGACAGACAAGGCGCTTATCATTAATCTCCAAGCAGATTCTGGGTAACAGGAGGCCAATGGATACAGGTGGTCAATATAGACCCCACTTGCCCCACATAATCTGCTTGGAGATTAAGCTCAACAGGACCGTTAAAAGCTGCATTTGGGCATATAGGATGGCCGTGTAGCTAGTACTGTGCCGGTGAAAAGACTGTCCATGCAGGTTAGAATCCTCACAATACGATGTAACTAGGAGGCAAAGATGGGCATAGAATCATCACAATGTAATGTAACTAGGCTGCAAGGATCGCCATAGATCTAGAATCCTGACAATACGGTTTAAATTGGTGGCAAAAATTGACATAGAATCCTTACAATACGATGTAACTAGGTGGTAAAGGAATCCTGACAGTACGGGGTAACTAGGCGGTGACCAGTCGAAGAGCGTCTCCACAACAGAAAATTTTTGTTTAGGATATTACGTCACGACTAGTCAGCCGTGTTGGTGGCAACGGCAGCATTTTTGTCGGATGATGTGTTGGCGTTTGGACCCGCTCTTTGAACTTTGTCACTACTCTGTAGTTGTCGCTACGTGTCTTAATGTGTTGTCTCTTCGTGGTTATTAGACTGAAGTTGTCCATGAAAGTCGAATAACAGTTTGCGCGCTGAACGAATATCTACAGGAAATTTACGAAAAGATGATAAGGAAAGAAGGAGTAGCCTCTACCAGGCTTCGGGAAGCGGCTGGAAAGAGTAGAAATTGGTCAGAGAGATAGCATGCCAGAGGAGTTGGTCCGCTAGTTGGTCTGCTTTTTCCAGCCGCCTCCCGAAGCCTGGTCGAGGTAGTCTCCACCAGACTCCTTTGCAGGCAAATGGATCGTGCCCTCTTTGGCCGGCAAAATCCTCTGGCCAATGCCATACCCTTTTTAGGCCGATTGATTTCTACTATATATTCAGCCTGCAAAGGAGTCTGGTGGACACTATGGTAGAGGCTAAAGAAGGATGAGGGCAGTACTCACGATGACAGATGGGGTACTCCGCGGACCAGCCCTCCTCCGTACAGGTGATGCTGCTAGCCCCCTGAAGCTGGTACCCCGGGTGGCAGGAGAAGGTGTAGGTCGCCCCGATGCTGACGTCACTTCCGGCCATGGTGCCGTGACTCGGAGGGATGGGCACTGGGCAGATCTCCTCATCTGGAAGCATGAGGGGGAAAGAGTCATAAAACAATCAAAGAAACAAACAAAGAAAGATGGGTATGGAATGTATGGTTATCTTTGTTAATCTGTATCTGTATCTGTATAGCCGGTATAACCGCCTTTCGGCGTAACACACCAGCTTCGCAGGCACGCGGCGCGGCGGCAGCTGGCTATATTACACCGATCGACTTGTTACACCTAACCCCTGAACTTCTAGCTCTAGACATTGTTTAAAGCTATCTATTGACAGTGCCCCTACTGTACTTGGTGACAGTGAGTTCCACTCTGCGATAGTTCTAGGAAAGAATGAATTCTTGAACACCTCAATCCTTGGTTGATAACTCTGGTACTTGAATGCATGGCTATTTCTTGTTAATCGGTTAAGATGACCGAAGATTGCTGATGAGGAGAATATGCTTCATAACTAGTCAAAATACCAGTTTCCAAGTACAGAAAAGTAGAACATTCCCGTTAACTACAGTAATTAACCTGAAACATTGGCGTCGTTTCGCCCATAGTTTCATCATACACGTACTTGCTACTAGCGCACGTACACGAATAACAAGAGATATCCCCATTGAGAGTCTAACGGCGTGTCCATGGACACGAGGCAATGCACGAGTAGGATCTTGCAGTACCATTCCTTGCGTTGGACAAAATCCTTAATCTCTAAGGAGATATATATATTTCGGTGGCCGAAAAGATAGAATAAAATTGGCCAGACAGTTACCATTTCGTCGGTGGCGAAATGGTAACTGTTTGGCCAATGGGTACTGCCTGCTGGCCTATTTGATACTGTCTTTGCGGCAACCGATAGATCTGCTTGGAGATTACTAAACCCTTACCTGCGGCATACTGTTGGAGCGAAGCAAAGATGTCTTCAAAATGGTTCGGCACATGCAAACTACAAGCGCCGTTAGGACCAAAACCTAGGCCAGGCGGACATTGCGGTCTACTCGCCCCTATACCAGCAAATGCTAAGAGGCACACTACTACTACTGGCAATAGCATCGACATACTGCTTGCGGCGGTGCTAGCAAACGTACTCTTCGCTGGATGGCTGACGCTGTACTGAATGCAAAACGCTGCCGTTGTCGGCCTTTATATGTAGTATAGCGCGACCAATGCACACACATAAATCATTATTTCAAAGGTGATGGCATGCCCACAATGTAAATGGCCTCCTTGGCAGCGATCAACGCTGAAACTATTCAAGAGTTCATCAAAGATCCCGCGACCCAGATACGCCCTTGTAGACAATTAATATCTTGAGAATTTGGGCTGACGCCTTCAAAAACATGCCACTGTATCCTTGAGGCGGTAGATTTGCAACGTAGTATCTTTTTAACTCGTCTATGGAAATGTTGATTGAGGCATGCTCTGAGGGTGATTGGAGCACATAAATGCCATTGCTAAGGAAGATGAATTCAATGGCGATTCATAAAGTTAGCCCAATGTTTCCTCTATTGCCAAATCATATAATGACATACCAAAGTCGAATGTTTTAAACATTTTGAGACATGCTACTGGCGCAGCCGAACACCAGCAAACCACAGCCGACCTTGCTCCCGACATAATCCTAACCATGGTTGGGTGAGTTCGGCAGTGTTCGGGAGGCCAATCATTCGTCTATTTGCGACAAGGGCTTAAGCTTAATACTACAACCTTCTGCGTCTACGTCATTGCCGGTGTGGTTTAACTTACAAGCTATGTAGACCATGCGAATGTCGCAAGGTCCAAGGTATTCAGCGTTATCAGTATATCAGTATTTGCTTGCCGACAAGTTCTTACATAGATTAATCTCAGTTGTAATGCCAAGGCTGGACCACGGCGTGTGTGTTTGTTGGAGAGCGAGGCATGTTGGAACACTTATAGCCGTTAAAGGCGTCCGATGCAAAAACTGGACATATTCTGAAGATAATATAAGAAAATCTGTTTGATATTCACACATACTTAGCATCAGTATTTTATACTGGGGGGGGGGTGCCTCGCGTCTTCTCTTTGTTCCCGCATACTGCCCGGCCGGGCCCCGGCTTGGAAATGTGTCCCTAGCATAAGGTACCTACCGACAGTTTCTTCCAGAGTAGAGGCACACGGCGTTGCCAGGGATCCGGGCCAGTTACAGACCAGCAGGGCCGGGTCGAAGTGCAGACCGGTCGGACAGGACAGGTGGAAGGGTCGATGTCCAGGCGAACACTGGTAGAACCGGCCGCAGTCCTCAGGGTCGGGATGGAGCCCGTGGCCTCCCGCACAGCTCCAGAGTGGTGGGGCTAGGAGTTTGAGACAGAATAAAAACGTAAATATAGTCCCATATTTGAATGAAAGCTCATCTGTGTTGGTAGAATCCATAGTTGCAGAGTGTAAGCTTTGTTCCAACTAAAAAAATGAACCTTCAACCTTCGTTAGATGTATGATCCACTGAAATACAATTTAGTCCAGATAAGGACTGCAAGTTTGATTGAACGATAAAGTTTGAATGTTTGAAAGCTTGTAGAAACCATCGCAACCTCGCGCCAAACTCTTCCGTACCGCGGATTGGCTGTTCTACGTAACCACGCCTGCACTGTGCACCCTTAACTGGACTTTAGCCAACATTTCCTGGTTGTTTCAAACGGCCTGTCTAAAACCAACGATTGATGTGTGTAAACACTCCGGTCCGGGTACAGATCGCGCGCCGAGGAACAAGGAACGTCGCCAGGACCTGATCTCCAAGCAGATCTTTTGGTAGCTGAAAACACCGTGGGAAAATGTTAACTGCCTGGTAAACGGATACTGCCTGGCCATTTAATACTGTCTTTGCGACCACCGAAAGATCTGCTCGGAGATTAGATAGCCAAGAATCGCCATTATACCCAATTACTCATCGCTTTCTTTGTGATCAGGACTTGGAACAAATTAGCAGAAGGTTAATTACAACTCGTCAGTTCTGAATACCTCTCACCCAGTGTCAACAGCTTCTAAAAATCGAGATTAGCGCGCGAAAACGTTGCCATGACAACCGTGACGTCACTTGACGTCGTCATGGAAACAGACAAGAATGAGAACAAAAAGATAGCCCGGGAAGACCTCGTTTGCGTATCTTTCGCGGTAATTATAAGATACACTTCAAAACATTCCACTGAGGTTCTATAGCTACAAGCTACACTTGTCGAGCACATGTTAACATATCAATGAGCATTATATCTGCCTTAACATAAAACCACGTTAAGTATACGCCACTTAGAGGTATAGACGACCTTCCACTATTGACTCGAGCAGGTACACTCTGATGTAGGTTTTCGTAGGAGAAAACATTTAGAAGATTTTGTTTGCTGCCATAGCAATGAAAGGCGGATCCACAGTGGTCACTTCACGCAAACAAACAAACAAACAAACAGACAGACAGACACGCGCACACACACACACACGCACACCCCAGCAGTCTGTTGGACTCTGAACTGCGGACGTGTAAACTGCATAGTGATCACAGTACACAGGTCCACAGCACGTGGCTATCATGGGCCGCAATTAAACCAGGCAAAAAAATGCGGACTACCACAAACAATGACCCGTTCGTACGTGTGTAGATGACCAAACGTAGAGCGAATACGTTTTTGACATCTGGATCATTAAAGGTGTCTTTTCTGCAGCGGAAACCCTGGTACAGGATGGCATCCTTTGCGTAGAATGCCCGTTAAGCAATGAAAGAATGGCATTGATAGCTCGTACTATAAACTGAACGATGCAAGGACGCTTTGCAAACTTAAACATAAAATGTCTAAGATGAAGTAAGTTAAACGAGGAAGTGCAGACTGGACCATACTCTACCTCATGTTTCGTTAAAAGGTCCCTTTGGTCTACTATCTTGACATTTCCACTTATAGCCATATCTGCAATATTATGGCTGACGTCGTAAGAATAAAAAGACGAATAAGAAGATAAATACTCACTTTTCTGGACCGGCTTGGCGTTGGATGATGACGCGAAGACTGCGACAGACACCAGGAGCACGGTAGCTAGTTTGATTGACATCTCAATAATACTTCGAAAACGTGGGAAAAAAGAACTTTAACAGTGTTCGTTCACAAGTTAGAAAAAAAGTACGTTTGATGATGTGAAATGTAGATTTCAGCGTCTTCTGTACAGGCTGGTTGGATCTGTTGGTGGTTGGAGTTGCTGGGAGTGATGAGTAGAACGTGCGGTTGTCGGCAGGTCTGGTCCGTGGTCTAACGTACCTGCTTATCGCCCTGCCTTTTATACCTGTGCCTGTGTACACAGTAACCAGGCGTGGGGCGCTGCCCTCATGAAAACCGCATTTTTCGTCGAATATTTGTCAGCTTCTTTAGCGGGAGTGACGTCCGACGACTAACCAAACTTCCCGGTGACTGATGACTGTGCATGACGGACAAGTGACTGGCGCGCCAAATATGCTCTACAATCCCTGTGGCATGGCTAATATTTCCGCCGCAGTCGCAATCATTTCCTTTGACAGGTTCTGCACGTGAAAAGTGTACAGAAAATGTACGGAGAAGTCGTAAATACGAATAGGACCACTGATCAAGCCCCTAGCCACTGTTATCATGCAGTGTTTGCTGCCCGCATAGCTCCAATTCTTGCGGAAGATACGATTGTGGTCAGCCCGGGATGCTTGTGTACCTAATTATTAGAGGAGGGGAAATTAAGGAACATAATGATCATCATGGGACCCACCATATATACATCAATTCTGGCACAAGACTAAACAGATGTCTGTATTATTGTATACGGCGTAAATGTTGACCAAACCAAAGTAGCTCCTGTGTTTACAGTTTTCTTTGTTCTTTGTGAGGAACAAAAGATTGATTCTGTCAGTGGTGGCCACTCATGATCATCAACCTTTTCAGGACGGAAAGATCAAGAAATGGGAACACAAGGAACCGATTACCTTTTTGTTTCTAGGTCAAGGACGATAAGAAAGAAGGGAGATCTTAATCTTTAAGTAGGTTTTGGGACGAAAAAGTGTGTGTGTGTATGTGTATGTGTGTGTGTGTGTGTGTGTGTGTGTGTGTGTGTGTGTGTGTGTGCGTGCGCGTGTTTGTGTGTGGTGTGAGTTCACACAATAACTCAAGAAGGGTTAGAAGGATTGTCTTGATATTTGGTACGTGGTTAGGTCTTCAGGAGACCTCGAAATGATTACATTTTAGCCCCCTGATCTCGTTGCATGACAAGAAAATCGTGGCACGAAGAAAACCGTACGACTTTCTATCTGAGCTCATTCTTGGAGACATGGCTGCCTCAAACAGTTCCTTGAATCTGTACATAGGTATCTGTATTTCATGATCCAATGGAAACCACACATGGAGTAACGTTTCCATTCTGTAGTTAAGAGCGAATGAGCATCGACTGCAGAAGCAACTGGCTGATTTAAGTTATCGCAAAGTTTTAAACCTCATTGGTTATCGGAAACTGTGGGGTAAATTGACCTTTTCAATGAACATGGAAAGATTCTTGGATATGCTGACAGCGATGTGGCTTTCTCTTCATCTCCAAGCAGATTCTGTGGAGCAAGAGGGGTCTATATTGGCCGCCTGTAGTGTTTAAAACCATTGGCGACTCGGAATCAAGAGGTCCCGGGTTCGAGTCCTGACATGCCACCGATCTTGTGCCCTTGGGAAAGGCACTTTACACGACTTTCCTCGCTAGACTCAAGTGAAAATGAGTATTGTCTGTCCAGTATTCGTTTCTATGTGCGGGATACAGCACCAGCAACAGCTGCCTCTGTTCCGCGTGTATTGCACTGTTGCAATTTCAATAAATCAAAATATAGACTCCCCTCGCCCCACCAAATCTACTTGGAGATTAACTCTCCCTATACACGGGGCTGATGGATAACCGTTCACGTAAGAGCTGTCTACAAATTGAGGTCATCAACACGAATGTCCAGGCCGGGGTAATCGACCCTGTGATCCAGAGACGGGACTGTTGACCACTACGCCACTTTATGTAACTCATGATGAGCTAACGGAAGATGATCCTCATTACATAATCTTATCACAATAGATGTTTGCCTCCTCCACATTTCGTGGCTTAAAATAACCTGTCAACGAACAGAATTCAGTGTATACTTAAAATGGATCTGTATGTCATAAGGATTGCCATTTCAAGGAAAACGGAAGTTCGTGTGTCTGTTTACAAGAAAACACACGATTCCTTAAATGAATGTTTGTTGGTATCGCATAAACAGTAAACTTAGATAAACAACAAAAAAGAGTCGGTAGTAGATACAAACTATACACATGCAAGAAGTTACATGTAGTTTGAACCATTACAAAATAGAGACTCTTGTTTGTCTCTTTTAGTGCACAATTCAAAGGGCTCGTGATGTTTCTTTCCTTAGATAGGGAACTGACAGCTTATGGCTTATAGCTAAAAAGGCTTCCATTTCTTTACTGACGTGTACTTTTACGCGTATAAAGGTAGGATTCCGTGCGGTGGACTTTGGTCACCAGATGCGCCGTTTCTCACTAACTGTTACCTAACCGGCAGACTGTTCACCTTTCACCACTGTACCCGGGTATTGACCTGTTCTCCCAGCAGATGTTTCGGTGGCTGCAAAGATAGTATCAAATTGGCCAGTCAGTATCCATTTGCCTTCGGTGGCCTTCGGTGGCCAATGGATACAGTCTGGCAAATGGATGCTGCCTGGCCAATTTCATACTGTCTTTGTGGCCACCGAATCATCTGCTTGGAGATTAGTATTGACTCATGCCTCAGGGTGTTCATCTTATCATACAGAATTTTGGAAGTGTAGCAGTTTGAACAAATTGTCACAGGACTGTTATATGGCCGAGTAGTAACCATTTGTAGCATTTTTCTATCATAATTTTTGGCCATTTTTTCCAGTAGAATTAGGCTTAAGTGAACATGTGTAGACTCGTGTATGGGGTGGAGTACGGATCTTTTTAATTGTGTGGCAGTTCAGGTGTTTTTGACGTATAGTGTTTGACGTACAACAGGCAACATTTTAAAGTGTTCACAGCCTGACAATTCTATACCACAGGGAATATTCGTGACTGTATGTACGTATAACCAGGATTGTTCACGATTTTGTTGAAATGTTGTTGCAAAAACTTCTACGTTAAACACTTGAACTGTCACATGCGTGGCCTGTGTAAGGTGAAACATAAAAACAACACACTTCAACCCATGCTAACGTCACTCACTTCACACGTAAGTTCGTTTGTATACCCTTGAGGGTAAAAAATTGGAAAAAAATCCCCACTCCTTCCCATACATGAGTCTACACGTCAGCCTAGTTCTGCTGGCAAAAATGGCTAGAAATCATGATAGAAAAAAGCTACAAATGGAGTCTATATGGAATTACTGTTACAACAGCCTGGCAATCCTATATACCACAGGGATATACGTGCTTGTGTGTACGTATAACCTGGATTATCAACGATTTGTTGAAATGTTGTTGCGAAAACTTTAGATCTACGTAAAACACTTGAACTGTCACATGCGTGACCCGTGTCAGGTGAAACATAAAAACAACACACTTCAAACCATACTAACGTCATTCACTCCACACGTGAGTTCGTTTGTACACCCTATGAAAAATTTGAAAAAATCCCCACTTCTTCCCATACTTGAGTCTACACGTGTTGACTTCAGGCTACATGTAGTTCTACTGGCAACAATGGCAAGAACTTATGATAGAAAAAAAGCTACTGTAAGTAACAACACCCTTTCAATCCTATATACCACATGGATATCCATGACTGCATGTATGGATACCAACGGTTTTTGAAATACGTCGATGAAGGTTAGACATCCAGGTAATACGATACACCAAAAAGCAGTTACTCAAGCAACTGCATATGATATTGAAAACGTCAGACGTTTCAGCTAGTATCCACTAGCTTTCATCAGTGACTGAGAGACCAGAGGGGAAATGCAGGTTTGAAATGTTGTTGTACTTCAAAAACTCTATACTTGAACTGTTACGCGTGACCTGTGCAAGGTGAAACATAAAAACACTCCACATGTATCAAACTTCGTTTGTACAGTACCACCTACCAGGTGAAAAATTGGAAAAAAATCCCCAATTCATCCCATACGCGAGTATACACGTGTTCACTTGCGGAAATCAGGAGGTTTGAAGTGGTTAACAAACAGGTAATACGCGCTTATCTGCGAAGGACTGTTTGGTCGTGGCGGGGGTTCGTGTGGACACGTAATATGAGGTGGGGCTTTGGACGGAAACGATCAAGGCTAATCTCCAAGCAGATGTTTTGGTACCTTCAAATTAAGAAGATGAAGAAGGTCTCCCGTGCTCTTATACCGAGCGTAGGGTGATGTCTATCTCCATTTCTGTAGGCCTTGGGCGACACACAGTTTTTTTTATTTTTTTATTATTCCAACATATGCAATCACCAGACGTGGTGACGACACACTCAAGTTTTTTTCAACTTATATTAATGCCGCCACCAACACAGGGGACAAATACATGACACACAGTTGTGCAGGGCACTACAGCAGGGGGCTGGTCCGCTGGTAGTGCTGTGTGTTTGACCTTCCCACACTCTTTCTCATATGTTGCTAATAAGTGCTAAGCAGAGAAAGAAGTGTATACCATATTTAAAGTCTTTGGTATGACCCGGTCGGGGTTTGAACTCACGACCTCCGGGTTACAAAGCGAGCACGAGCTATTACACCGGTTATTCAAATTAAGACAGAATCAAATTGGCCAGGCAGTATCCATCTGCCAGACAGTTAAGGTAATTGTCTGACATATGGATACAGTCTGACCAATTTGATTCTGTCTTTGCAGCCACAAAAACACCAAAAGATCTGCTTGGAGATGCTGGCTTGGGACGGAAACGGTTACTGACTCATCAAGGATGTGCGGTTTTGGACATGTGTGTAAATATCCTTGTTGTAGGAAACACCCTTTTGACACGCCCAATCTATTGAATCAGGGCTTAGATTTGCGTACGTCGATGAAGGTTAGACATCCAGGTAATGAGATACACAAGAAAACTGTTACTCAGGCAACTGTCAGATGTTTCAAGTTGCATCCACTACTTTTTGTCAGTGACCAACGTAATCTGTAGTTGAACAGCTATTTATATATAAACTAAGAATTGGCATGGAAAATACAATATTAGAAAGTCTACATCAATAAAAAGTAGGGCAAACGAAGTTAGTTTAAACTTCCTTGGACAAAGTAAGACAAGTTAATTCTATTGAGTCAATTCGCTCCTGTTGTTTGAGCTACTGTATGTTCTTTCCCTCTTCATAAAAAGCAATAAAGTTCTTTGAAACCGCTGCTGTTTACAGTCTATACATGAGTGATTGGAGCAATAATAACCTCCTACATGAACGTCAGAAGTAGTACGTCCTTCTAAGACGTGTAATAG